AATGGTGAAAGGGAATCACATATGTCACCTTCATAGCTTCTGAAAAGAAAGGCAGTGCAAAAACCAAATAAATGTGATGGCCATGGACCTAAAGAGAAACAATTGCAAGCAGTGCAACATTAAATACAAGCTATCCAGTACATTTCAGTGAGAATGTGCAGATCTCTTCTCATATAAACTCTAAATTGATTAAAATTTTGAAAGCGACCTATACTATTCTTGATAAAGGGTGACAGATAAATTAAATCAGTGGCAGTGGTTTCAAAAAAAATGTTCTAGTAAATACAGTTATATTATTACTCAGAATATGGAAAAAAACAAAGAACTATACTTCAATACAACATATGCACTATAAGTTTTTTGCTGTTGACACACACATATTCTGTGTTGTTTCTGTTGTATATTCAAGTGGATTATAATTTATGATAACCCTAAAGCGAAGCTGTCATGGGGTTTTCTTGGCAAGATATGTTCACAAGAGATTTGCCTTTCCCTTCCTCTAAGGCTGAGAGTGTGACTTGCCCGTGAAGGGTCAGAAGATTTCTGTAACTGATAGGATCTCAAACCCTGGTCACCCAGATTACTAAACCAATGATGAAGCTACTGCTACAGTCAGTACAAACACACATGCACATATATATATTCATAAAAACACAGAGAAATCATACTTTCCTAATCTGAGAAGATTCACCAAGCATTATAGAGATTCAGAGCAGTTTCCGAAGTTTTTAAAAAAATGTACAGATAAACTTCCATATCATTAGAACACATAAAAGGTAGAAGGTAAAACATAAATAGAATCCAAAGGAATTTATGAACATAAATATTTAAAAGTAACATTTATTATTTATTTATTTATTTCAGTTTCTTCTTCCCCGCCCTTCTCACCCCGAAGGCGACTCAGGGCAGCTTACAAAAGCAGAGGCACAATTCAATGCCCGCCTCACATAACAGTCGTAAAACAAAATAGCATCAATTCACAGTTAAACAACAATTCCTGCATTACAACTATAAAACCAATAAAAACAATAAAAACCAATACAAACCCAATTCCTCCTCAAAAACGGTCAGCGTTCGCTATCTCATAGTTCCAATTTCAATTCCACGTTGTTCGTCCTGTCAGTTTTACTCGTCTGATTGTCTTATCTAGTTGTCAGATTGCCCAAAGGCCTGGTCCCACAACCACGTCTTTACCTTCCTCCTGAAGGAGAGGAGGGATGATGATGCCCTAATTTCCCCCGGAGTGAGTTCCACAGGTGAGGGGCCACCACTGAGAAGGCCCTGCTCCTCGTCCCCACCAGCCTCACTTGTGACAGCGGTGGGGTCGAGAGCAGGGCCTCCCCAGATGATCTCAAACTCCGGGGTGGGACGTAGAGGGAGATACGTTCGGACAGATACAGTGGACCAGAACCGTACAGGGTTTTGTAGGTCAAAACCAGCACCTTGAATTGTGCTCGGAACTGAACCGGCAGCCTAATCCTAACCCTAACATCAACAACAAATGATGACCAAGATGTATAGGATTTTATAGGTCATGGCTAACACTTTGAATTGAAACTGTCTGGTAGCTAATGGAATTATTGTAACAAGGAGGATGCATAATCCCTATAACTAGTTGTAGTTAACAACCTGGGTGCATCTCTTTGAATAGCTGAAGATTTCTAACCCTAACCCTAACCCTAACCCTTCGCCCCTTCCTTTCGGCCTCTGTTTGTTTTCTGGGTGATATGGCCATGTTCCAGAAGCATTATCTCCTGACGTTTCACCAGCATCTATGGTTGTGAGACCTCACAACCTCTGAGGATGCCTGCCATAGATGCAGGCAAAATGTCAGGAGAGAATGATTCTGGAACATGGCCATACAGACTGGAAAACACAACAACCCAGTGATTCCAGCCATGAAAGCCATTGACAATACATTTCAAACTCTTTGAAGGCATCCTCAGATAACATGTGTTACAATAATCTCAATAGGATGTAACTAAGGCGTGTAACAGATTTCATTGTACAGGCAGTCCCCAAGTTATGAACAACATAGGTTGTGTAAGTTTGTTCTTAAGTTGAATTTGTATGTAATTCGGAACAGGTACATTTTTAAGTGTGACTCCAGCCATGTGTGTGTGTGTGTAAGCTTTGGAAGAAACAGTCAAGATTTCCAGGTTCAGGTGCTAAGGTATATAGACTCTTGATGCACTGAGTTATAAGTAGCTATAGTAGATAATCCAAGAGTCCTGTATTGTCATTGGAGCATTTGAAGCAAAGATCATTGTAAAAGTGAACTGTCCTCCAGATGTTGATGGTGAGATCATGCTGGAGAACCTACAGGTGACAAGAGAAGTGTTTTCTCTGGGCATCTCTTCTGTACTCCAGTGTAACTCTGCCATATAAAACCCAGATTATCTGTTTTGAACTGGATTACATGGCTGTGTAGATCCAGATTCAGTGGTCAACCTCTGGCAGGCATTAACGATAGAGTTGCACTGGAGGTCCTAGAGATTGCTATAGGGAGAATACTAATTAAGACAATACCACAATTGTTGAGGGTTGATAGTAGACACTACACCTGCATCTAATAGTGATGCAGATTGCATGGACTCCTTACCAACACTAGGATAGAAGGGACTGAAAGAGGAATGATATGAGGGACGAGGTACAGGGCCTTCTCGGTGGTGGCCCCATGGCTGTGGAACTCCCTCCCCAGTGAGATCAGGTCGGTCCCCTCCCTCCTGACCTTTTGGAGACAGCTAAAGATCTGGCTGTGGAACCAAGTGTTCAACCTATCATGGGAATATTTAAAGTTAAAGTTAAAGTTGAAAGTGCAATGACCCAGGACTGTTACAGACAACAACTGTGTCTTTGTGTGCTATGTGATTTAATTATCAGTGGAACGCTCTGCCCTGGAGTGTGGTGGAGGCTCCTTCTTTGGAAGCTTTTAAACAGAGGTTGGATGGCCATCTGTCAGGGGTGATTTGAATGCAATATTCCTGCTTCTTGGCAGGGGGTTCGACTGGATGGCCCATGAGGTCTCTTCCAACTCTTTGAGTCTATGATTCTATGTGCTGGGTTTACTAATGTTTGATGTTTTATCAGGGGAGGGTCAATTCTGATGTTTTATACTGTCTTTTATTGATGGCATTGAATTGTTGCCAACACAGTGAACTACCTTGAGTCTCCTTCGGAGTTGAGAGGGGTGGTATACAAATACCGCAAATAAATAAGTAATAATTAATAAATATCCTTCAACATTGATCTATATCAATACAATCAGTTAAGGGTTGCCAGCTTTCAGGACATATATTTTTCTCAGATTCCAGAGTCGCATGTTCTATATATTTGGCTGAAACGGGAATGCTTTTGTGACCTCACACCAAAGTTGCTGAGGATCCATGACTCTTAATCTCACCAATCTAAAAAGGGTTCTTTCAACCATCCAGTTTATTTTTCTTTGGTTTTATTGTGAGCATGGAGGGGATCTAATAAAATGCCAGTCGGCATATGTAGGAAATTAGTTAATTGGGCCAGCCTGTCTGCAGAGGTAATTAGCATTATGAAGCAATGTAAGGGGGAGCAACTGAAGGCGGCACCATGCTGGCTTTCCATTTGGGGTTTGCTTTTCCATCAGCACTAATTACACAATTTTCATAATGACAACAAATTCCTACATGGTTCTGTTCAGAGACTTGTGGTTTTTTGGCATTGTTTGTTTCTTAAGATATGGTTTTGAGCTCCTCCTTTATTAGGAATGTGAGCATAGCAAGTGTAATATGGTTGAGCTGATGGAGGCTGGGCACTTTTACCACTTATATATTATGACACCTGAAGCAGAAAATCTCATGTTTTCCTGCTTCTGGCAGCTAAAAAATTCAGTCACACCCAAAATCAGCATCTCTAAGCCGGATGCCTCAGTCTGCATAATGGAAGGGCCAGCTTCATGTTTAAGACATATTTGTGGACCTATTTCCTACGTAAAAAACCTCAGAGTGCCTAAATATTCTTTACCCCTGAGAATTTACAAATTGTTAATTTTTTGTGGACTAGAGTGGCCAAAAGTTAAAGTTTTGAGTCTCCTAAAAGAAAGAAAAGGCAGATTAGAAAAGAATAGAATAGAATAATGTAATTCTTCCAGGGTCTTCCTACTGCACCATTTACATTTTTGTTAGCCCATAATCATGTCTCATGGATGCCCAGGTACTTACGTTGTTAAACCTATTATTAGTTGCGGCTTCTGGGTGTGCATATTTCCAACAAAATAGGAACTAGTTGCACTGGACACTTACCATAGCATGCATGAAAAGCACACACCATTTCCTACACTGAAATGACACCTGTCCAAAAAATTAATGCGCCTGTCCAAAGCATCCACTGAATCCCATTCAAGTGTCAGATGCCAAGGAGGTTCAAAAAGAGGCAGTTCTTTATCTATTGCCAACATCCAGGACAATCATAGAATCATAGAAAAGAGTTGGAAGAGACCTCATGGGCCATCCAGTCCAACCCCCTGCCAAGAAGCAGGAATATTGCATTCAAATCACCTCCTGACAGATGGCCATCCAGCCTGTTTAAAAGCTTCCAAAGAAGGAGCCTCCACCACACTCCGGGGCAGAGAGTTCCACTGCTGAACGGCTCTCACAGTCAGGAAGTTTTCCTCATGTTCAGATGGAATCTCCTTTCTTGTAGTTTGAAGCCATTGTTCGCGTCCTAGTCTCCAGGGAAGCAGAAAACAAGCTTGCTCCCTCCTCCCTGTGGCTTCCTCTCACATATTTATACATGGCTATCATATCTCCTCTCACCCTTCTCTTCTTCAGGCTAAACATGCCCAGCTCCTTAAGCCGCTCCTCATAGGGCTTAAGGAGCTGGGCATGTTTCATTTGACATTCAAAGTAAATGAATCTTGGAAAACATACTTAAAGCAGAAAGTAGAGCATAAGGCCATTTTATATCCTTTTGGCATGTTTCATCATCACCTTCTGCTTTTGTCTTTTGTCTCCCCCATTCTCCAGGGTGAAGAAGCTGAAGGAGACTTTTACATTCATACAGCAGCTGGACAAAAACATGAGTAATCTTCGCACCTGGCTGGCCCGCATTGAGTCTGAGCTCTCCAAGCCTGTTGTTTACGACATCTGTGACGACCAAGAGATACAGAAGAGGCTTGCAGAACAGCAGGTCAGGGAAAGGAATGGCAGATCATCTAAAAGGGGTGTCTCCTTGATTTCTGGTTGGCTCGACTATTTATCTTGAAGATTTGACATTCCAGAGCTTATGCCAGGAGCTTGGGAAGTCCTAGGGTTTCTGAGCTGGTGGAGTCTGGAAATTGTGGTCTTGAAAAACAACTTCTTCCAAGCTCTGACCTCGATGTAATGCCAGCCTAATGCTTTAAAAAGTTAAACTCCCTATCAATCTGATTAGAGTTTTGATTTGCAGTTTGGGAAACAGTTGTGTGCCTAAATGTACCTCAAGGTACATTTAGGCACACAATTCTGTGCACTTTGATTTGCATCCTGAAAAGATGTGGTGGTGGTGGTGGTTGTGTACTTTCAAGTCATTTCCAGCCTATGGTGAGCATAAGGTGAACCTATCCTGGGAAGATTTTTAGGAAGATTCCTATCTTAGGAAGGTGTTTTAGAGGAGTTCTGCTTTTGCCTTCCTCTGTGGCTGGGAGAATGTGACATGTCTAAGGTCACCCAGTGAATTTTCATGGCCAAGCATGGATTCAAACCTTGATCTCCAGCATCATAGTCTAACACTTAAGCCACTTCACCATGCTGGTGTTATATTGGTGATCACCTTGAGTAGATATGCACAGAGCTGTGGTTTATGCAACAGGTAGGGGATATCTCTGAACTGGGAAGAATTACATCTGGCCTTGTACCATGCCCATAATGCCATGTATAGCTAAAATATGACACTCTCACAAACCCTTTTCCAAACTAGAAATCAGTTATTGGGCTAAAAACAGGTTTTGCCACTGGCAAACAGTCCTGTACATGCTACGGAAAACCAATCATTTTATTTTCAGACCTTTGAGATGCAACATCCTAGGCATCTATTCTACAATATTCTAGTGACTCATTTTTCCAGCAATAACCATGGTTTTTGATACAGGCAACGTAAAAAGGGAGGAGAAAGAGTTTAAAATGTACTGAGCACCAGCTAAGAGCTAAACTAAGTGCTTCCTAAGAAGTTTGACCCAATGGATACTAATGACTTCTGTGTCAATGACATATTAAATCCGTTTGGGATTGAAATCCAAATTTGAAAGCTCCAAACATCGTGAGTTTTGTTGCCCAGTTTCTTCTATTTAGCTTCAGAGATCTGAAGGGCTAAAACTTAGAGCAATTGTATTGCTCCAACATTACAACCAAAGAGGTTATGAATCGTTTTTTGGTTAAATTTAGATTCGGTTTGGTTATTTGGGGTGCTGATTCAGAAAATTGCATTGGATAGACCACATCAGCTCTAGTTTCTGATACAGAACATATGCCATCCAGTAGTTGCCATCTGCTCGCCCACAGAAAACCATATTTAATAATCTAGATCTAATGTAGTAGTAGTAATCTTTCGTGGGTTGTCAGCCTCTCCCCTTTCAACATCCCAGTTGTCTCTGTATTATAAGAGGGTTTCGTGAGACCAGCTGCTCTCGTTGCTACATAGTTTTGAGGAAATGGTGTAGTAATGGTGAGGCCGCAGACCATATTTTTGTTCTTGTGGGCCACTGGTGGTCCATGGACCACAGGTTGGAAACCACTGATCTAAAAGGAATGTGGAAGAGAAAAAGAAAGAATGACAGGAGTTGGAAGCTTTCCACTTGTTGAAAATATTTGCAAATTCTGAGGCATGGGCACTCCCTGTGGAAAAATCAATTATCCCAAAATGCAGACAGTTGTGTTGATCCTTGGAAGAGGCAAACCAGCCCTACAGGCTTTATCTCTCCCTGGACACAGTTCTTTTGTGAAACTAACGAGCCACAGATAATCTTTTACATGTTTTCTGAGCAAATCATTTGGGATGTGGTGCTGGAGAGGAGTTCTATGGATTTTGTGATCTGATAAAAGACAAATAAATGAATCCTAAATATGATTATTTAAAACTTCATGACTGGAGATGACTTTTTACCATTGGTTATAGGACCTTCAGCGGGACATTGAACAGCACAGCGCAGGTGTAGAATCGGTGTTCAGTATCTGTGAGGTCTTGCTGCATGATTCAGATGCTTGTGCCAATGAGACCGAGTGCGACTCCATCCAGCAGACCACAAGGAGCTTGGACCGGCGATGGAGAAACATCTGTGCCATGTCTATGGAAAGGCGAATGAAGTGAGACACAACAATATTTTTCTCTTTTATGGCAGAGGGGGAAAGTATTTTTTTCCAATTTTTGTTCTTTTTTCTTTAATTTTTTTTCCACAACTCCAAAAAGGTACAAAGGATCTGTTTTGAAAAAACCATCATACATAGATCACTTATTTTGGGAGAAATAGCCACTGAGAGCAATCTCTCTTGCCTGCAGAATGGTTCCTGGTAGTGTGGTCGAAGTCGGCCATTGTTGGCAAACTAGTGATCCTCTCTGGAGTTTAGCCCATACTTTAAAAATGGCTATATAAGGAGCCAAACTTATTTGAGAGTAGGGTTCTGCAGGTTAGCTAGCTCCTTTGAAATTCAGACAAAAGCTCAGCATTGATTCACTGCTTCCCTGGCATGTGAGCTGCAATGGATCTCAAGTTCAGTCCCTGGCATCTTCATCTAAGGCAAGGATGGGGAAAGTATGCTCCACATGCTTTTTCTGCCTTTTGAAGGCCCCCAGCTGGAAAAAAGAGAGGGGGGAAAAGGCCAGTTTCCTGGAAAACATGTTGTTGATCTTATTGTGTTCCTTCAAGTCATTTCAGACTTATGACAGCCATAACCTGAATTTATTAGGGGGTTTTCTTTTATTCTTTTATTTATAAAATAAGTGACGTATGCATGATTGTTCTTTTCTCTATGAAGCTAAGATAATGTGACTTGCCCAGGGTTACCCAAAAGTGTCTGTGGTCAAATGTGGATTCAAGTCCTGGTCTCATGTGATATTGTCCATCACTGAAACAATGGCACCACTCTGGCTGTAGGATTGTATTGCAATCAAAATTAGAAGTAGATTATTATGTTGCTACTATTGCATTTAAAGTGTAATCGAAGTGTTATAATTTGATACTGTGAAATGGCTCCAAGTGCAGCTTAGTTTAGTTTGTTCATCTCCACAGTAAGGAGATGGGCACGTTGTTGGCCATTTATGAAGAGGTTCATACTCCCATCTAGATGGCTTTCTTGAAAAATATTTATGTGATTTGTAAAATATTGCTTATTTCCCTGTTAGAATTGAGGAGACCTGGTGCCTATGGCAGAGGTTTTTAGAAGACTACTCTCGCTTTGAAGATTGGCTGAAGACAGCAGAAAAAACAGCAGCATATCCTAACTCTTCTGAGGTTGCATACACAAATGCTAAGGAAGAACTCAAGAAGTTTGAGGTAGAACTTACTCTTGTTTTTCCATATTTGTAAATCCCACAGGTGCTTTATCATTTCTCTAGGTTTTCTCTTAAAAGTGTATTTATTGGCTTAGTGGTATGTTTTGCCTTGAGGTCCCTCCAGGATTGAGAAAGTCGGGGTAGAAACGTCATAAATAAATTAATAATAAAACGTCTCCAACAAAAGTGGCAGTGTGTAACTAATCAGTATACGGTATGTGAGAATCTTGAGATAGTTCATAATCCTAATAACTATGTAAAACAATCTGAAATTGATGTGTGGCCGAGTCTTCTTCTCTGGAAGTTTTTAAACAGAGACTGGATGCCCATCTATCAGGAGTCCTTTAGTTGTGTGTTCCTGCATAACAAAGAATAGTACAAAACGGCCCTTCTGGCCTCTCCGAAGTCTATAATTCTATGGTGACATATTAAGAAAGTTGACAACTATATGGATTAATGGGAAGAATTTGTGGAAACAAAGAAAGGTTGACAACTATATGAAATAAACTGAAAACTGTAATATGTTAAGTACATGTAGGAATGTTAGGATATTTCAGAATTTTAGAACCATATGAAACAATCTAATGTGGTTGAAATCACCCTTCTATAACCTAGATGAAGCCTCTATTGGGAATTGATTAATTCATATGTGGTTTTCTTGACATACCTCCTGTGATCTTCTGTTCTTCTTTAACTTCTTGAGAAAAGAGATTTACATCTTTCTCTTTTAAAAGATCTTTGTTCTATTGATAATTTATGATGTTTTCACCTCAGGCATTTCAGCGGCAAATCCATGAACGACTGACTCAGCTGGAGCTGATCAATAAGCAATACCGGCGATTGGCCCGAGAGAACCGCACAGATTCAGCCAGTAAACTCAAGCAGATGGTGCACGAGGGCAACCAGCGCTGGGACAACCTGCAGAGACGTGTTGCTGCCATTCTCAGGAGACTTAAGGTGACTGCCGCCTGCTTATTACATGGTCAGCAGCTTCTACAGAGAAGCACATTGCTTGGAAGTTGCATCTAATTGTTTTCCTACAAGCAAAGGAAATGAAAAGAAGGGCTGGATTATCAATAATTCAGTGATGGAGCCCCCGGCACAGTGGGACTGTGCCGGCAGGACAGGTTGCAGGTTCGAATCAAGGGAGAGGCGGATGAGCTCCCTCTATCAGCTCCAGCTCTTCATGCGGGGACATGAGAGAAGCCTCCCACAAGGATGATAAAAACATCAAATCATCCGGATGTCCCCTGGGCAACGTCCTTGCAGACGGCCAATTCTCTCACACTAGAAGCGACTTGCAGTTTCTCAAGTCGCTCCTGACACGACCAAAAAAATAATAATTCAGTGAGCGCAATTCCTCCAGGCCTTTCATTGACTAAGGGCCCAATGCTGAAGGAAAAGTTATAGCACAGGCATGGGCAAACTTCTGCCCTCCAGGTGTTTTGGATTTCAACTCCCACAATTCCTAACAGCCGAAGTTCGCCGATGCCTGGTATAGCCAGATTCCATTTCTTCCTCAATCATTTCCCCAAAGTTCTTGAAGTTTCTCAAATTATCACTGTTTTGTGTTTTGTTTCAGTAGCTAAGTAAAAACACATGGGATCAATAAAACCAAAGTTGTGGGTCTGAAAATTGGTTCACATATCAAGATTTTTTTGGAAAATTGAAATCTCCATAATCTTTTTGGAGATGTTATGATCTTTGGAAAGACATGATCTTGTTAGAAGTCATCACTCTTTGAAAAATGATGCCATAATCTCTTGGTAAAAAGCATGACCTGTTAGAGTCACTACCTTTTCGGAAAATGTCATTCACCAGCATTCAGTCATTCTCTCCAGCGTTCACACACACACGTGCGCGCGCACACACACACACAGCAGAGTTTCAGAAGTATTCCTTTTTAGATGCCTCAAAACATCTGTTCTCCCTTAAAATATATTTGCCTTTAAATCATGCTCTCAAGATACAAAATAAGCGGACTTCTTTGAAGCAGCATAGTTAATTTTGTATTCAGCATACAGGTACTTTGCTTATCGATCCAGTTACAAATAGATTTGAAGTAGTATCTCTGTGTAGGTGACACAAGGACATCTTTCTTCAAATCAATAGTCCATAGTCCAAAGCATCTCTCTGTTCTGAGAGTCTAATAGAGTCTCTGTAGCGTGCCTCAACTAATTTCTAAAAGCATACATCTCTTTCTAAGTCTAAACTGAACTGCACTGCTTCTGATGCAAACACACACTGACTTCTAAAATGGAGTCTCAGGTCTGAACAACCCCAGATCTGATCACATGGTCTGTAGCCCCTCCCACAACAAAGAGTTAAGGTCAAATTGCATATCAATACACATATCTACAACCCAGTAAGCAATCTAAATTATATACATAACAAATAACTAGTGGAGGCTTAGAAGGTTGCTATTTCCAACAGATTTTTGTGCCTCTAATTATTGTACCTTAAATTATATCAAGTGATTTGAGTTCTGTGTCTGCACATGCAAATAGCTTACCCTTGTGTGTGAGAATAAAATTGAGAGAAGAAGGGGAAGAAGCAAGTATGCTGCCTTTTTGCACCATGGAAGGCAGAAGGGGGGCAAAATTGTCATAATTAAATTCAGATTAAACAACTAATGAAATAGTCACAACCTGGAAGATCTCCAGCTCTGTTATATTACATTTTTAGCTTGAGATGGGTGGCTCTGATTCCTCCTGGAATCAGAGCAGATACTCAGTATGTAAAGGAAGTGGCAGATTTGAAAGATATAAAGCACTCTGTTGGTGTTTCGTAACTCTGTCCTATGGTTGCATTCAGCTTTTTACCAATCAATGGGAGGAATTTGTGGGCACAAAGGACAGTGTCCTCGTGTGGTTGACCGAAATGGACCTGCAACTGACAAATGTGGAGCATTTCTCAGAAAGTAACTTTGATGACAAAATGCGGCAGCTAAATGTAGGTATCTCTTTTTGAATTTAAAAAACAACAATTCTTTCCGTCATAAATGTATGTTCTGCTCATTTTCTCTGCATTTTCAGATTTTTTAAAACATGCACGTAGAATCTACTGATTATTTTAATGACTTAGATACCAGGTGATCCCTTTAGTCTGTCAGTTATCCAAAATATTTTCATTTATTGCCAAATTATAAATCATGCCTCTCTTAGAGCCAAGAGATACCGTTTTCTGTTCCTTATCCCCACCTTTTCAAAATACAGGAAATGTTAACAGGCATCTTTAGGCAAATGTGAGCAAAAAACAGCCCTGCAAAAAGCAGTTCTCATCATCCTTTGCTACTGTGCTGATTAGGTAATGCAGTAATATTAGCCCCGGGGCCTAAAGAAGAGAAATCATTGCATGTAATGTCTTCTCTGTGGTTTATTGGGCCAATGATGGTGCTCGCTTTACCATCTCCTGTTTAGTCAGTAGGGAGGGCTCATAGGAACTGCAGTCTACCAATCTTATTGGTGACCCACCTCGGTGCACCTTGTTTATTTCACCATACTGGCATTAAATTTTGCCATTATTGGTTGCAAACCACTTAGAGTCCCCCCAGGGGTGAGAAAAGCAGTATATAAATGCAGTAAATAAATAAGTAATAAATAAACTTCCTGTGATATTCAGTAGTTAAAGATGACATTGTTTTTATGGACCATCCATCTTGAACGGGAAAGTTCAAACCAAATTCTCCATCTCTCTTTCAAACAGGGTTTCCAGCAGGAAATAATGCTCAACGCCAAAAAGATTGACCAGCTCACTGAATTTGGGGAGCATTTGATTCAGAAAAGTGAGCCATCAGATGCTGTTGTGATTGAAGAGGAACTAGAAGAACTCCATAAATACTGTCAGGATGTCTTTGGTCGCGTCTCCCGATTCCATCAGAGATTGGCAAACTGGCACTCGGTAAGAGCTAGCAGGATTATCTTTCGGTTCTTCTCAAAATTTTCTACACACTCCAGATTTCAAGCTATTCAGAAAGTGAGAAATGGAACATTTTCTACAAGAACTCTTCCCTCAGCTGTCTTCGCCTCTCCTTGCTAGCATGTTGAATGCATTGACTGCATTTCTTGAATGTTAAAGTGCGGTTTTAAGTTATGGCAATGCTAGAAATTTGAGGAGTGAAGGAAAATTTAATCTTGGAGAGACATAATTTTACAAGGAGTATTTTTTAAGTAAGGTCCGTTTTGTTGTAGACACTAGTAGTTGAATTTCTGCAGCAGGCAGGTTCCTTGCTGACAAAAACCGTATTACTGAGCGAACTTCACATGCGGCGGGTGAGTTGATAGTCTTAAACATTTTTAAAGCACAGAACAGAACCGTACAGGTTAGCTACAGAGCGGAAACTGAGCACAGTTGTTCCCGAGGCATGCCGGTACACGACGCACGCGCTCGTTGCAGTATGCGCGCGAACTACTAGTGTCTACAACAAAACGGACCTTACTTAAAAAATACCCCTCGTATTTAGGGAGTTGATGTCCTCATTATCTCCCCATTGGAAACTACACTCCAGCTAACACCCTTTCAGTGGTTTCAAGTTCAAATTAAAGTAATACATTAACGTGTGACCAAAACCTGTGTTTCTGCAACAAGATCCTGCCTGTCAAGGATCCTTCATTTGAATCAGAAATTAAGAAGTTTAAGGAAGTGTTTCCCAGTGTTTTGTTAATAACAGAATGCATTTTTATGTGTGTTTCCATCCTAAATATTTCGGTGTCCCTTTAGATTGAACAATAACATTTAGGAAACACTGCATGAACAAACATAAAGTAGCTGCACGCAATAACATCCTGCGGAAACTTACTGGCAGTGCATGGAGAGCTGCCCCAAATGAATAAGAACATCAGCCCTGGCCTGGTCTTACTCAACTGTTGAGCATTCCTGGCCTGTTTGGCATAAGTCTGTTCATGTGAAACAAATGAACATAGCACAGAACAAACATGCAGAATAATCACAGGATGCCTTAAAACTACACCTGTTGATGGACTCTACAAGCTAGATGGCATTGCCCGCCCTGGTGTGCGATGGGAAGTTGCTGCTAATTGTGAGAGAAATAAGGCTGATCACTATGAAAGCCATCTACTGCATGGCTATCAGCCTCTACTCAGTAGACTCAAATCAAGGAAAGGCTTCATGAGAGCCACCACTCTTCTTAACGTTCCCCCAGCAACAGCAAGAGTGTCCCTCTGGGAAACTAAACCAGGAAATCCCAGTTGGATGCCCCCCCCCCCCCACACACACACACACAAATCTGCCTCCAGGGGCAAACCAAGAATGGGCACCTACGAAGTCCTTAAGCAGACTCAGAAGTGGAGTGGGCCAATCTACCTGAAAGAATCCTCCACTTTGGGCAACTGTGGAGCATAACAAACTACTCCACACCTGTATGCTTGTCCACAATACCCTGCCTCATGTACAGAGGAAGAATTGTTTAAAGCTGCAGACAGTGTGGTCACTGTTGCCCAGTTTTGGTCAAACATTATTTAGCTGCTTGTACCCTATTTTTATCGGTTTAATATTTATGTATACAATGCTTTTGACCCAAAATAAATAACACTGTGAAAAACAAAGACATCTGAGTAAGAGAACATGTGATGCTGAATTGGGGGAATGATTGCCACTTAGGTCACTTTCAAGCCACTATTGAAGAAAACAGTTTTGCTGTACAAATAATTACATAAGCTATCCTGAAACTGTATTGTCGAAGGCTTTCATGGCTGGAATCACTAGGTTCTTGTGGGTTTTTTCGGGCTATATGGCCATGTTCTAGAGGCATTTCTCCTGACGTTTCACCTGCATCTATGGCAAGCATCCTCAGAGGATGCTTGCCATAGATGCAGGTGAAACGTCAGGAGAAATGCCTCTAGAACATGGCCATATAGCCCGAAAAAACCCACAAGTATCCTGAAACTGGTTCGAAGCATAGGTGGTGTTTACACAAACAACAGTGACCACTCTTGAACTGGCTCCAGCATCTACAGTTTTTGTGGCTCAACGGTCATGAGGAATGTGGGGTTTTTACAATTCCCCTCTCCAGATTGTATCTATGAGTATCAGTAGAGTACTTTATAGGTCTGTACAATAATTTGCATTCTGTAGACTTGATTTCACCCTGCAGTATGGTTTACATTGGAAGGCACATTAAGGGCTTTCTTTTGGACTTTTCCACAACATTGCTTATATCAATTTAAAGCCCTTAAAATGTGCTGCAGCAACGTTTTGTGTGTGTGTGTGGGGGGGTGCTATATTGAGCCATCATGTTTTGAAATTAGCTCGAAGCTGCATCAAATTGTCAGTGTAGATGAGGCCCAAGCAGGAGAGAATGGGATGCTGAATCTAAGCATGCATTGTGGTGGATTCTCCGTTCTACTTTGGTAGGAAAGCGATAGTTTCAATTATTGCTTGTTTTTCTTTTCTCTTGTTAGGGTGTAGAATATGAAAAGGAGTCATCTGAAAATAAGGCCGATGCAGAAGACTCAAGAGGACTGCAGCACGATCCATGGCACAAGAAAGCTTTGCCGGATGTCCCACCACCCCAGCAGTCTCTCTGCCACCTCATGCCCCCCGCCATGGGTCATGAGAGGTCAGGCTGTGAGACGCCCGTTAGCGTGGACTCCATCCCGCTGGAGTGGGATCACACAGGAGATGTGGGGGGCTCTTCCTCTCCAGAGGATGAGGAAGAAGAGCCATACTACAGTGCACTCTCGGGTAAGCTGCCTCTTGCCATGTAGCTGTTCCTTCATTTCATTTGGGAATGGGAATTTTCATTCAGACGCATGCAAAGAATCCAATTGCCTGACTTTAAATATTGGATTCTTTGCAATGCAGCCATTTAAAGGCATTTCAGCTCAGGAGCTTTCTCATCTTTCCTGTTCAGCAATGCCCATTCTGTACACAGTATGACCCCCATATCCACATGGGATGCATTTCAAGACATTGCATGGATAACTGAAACCCCAAATAATTGTGATCTCCTTATTTTGACTATACTTGAGCCAGAAGTATATAAAAAGAATAGCACTGGAGGACATAGAAGGTTCACAAACACTTCTGTGGGCAATTTTGGGGGGAGGGGGGGCATCGGCAACTAGAACTATGGATATTGAGTCTTTGGATAAGGGAGTCATATTGTATTGTGCAGAATGAAGTAGGAAACTTCTGAACCTATGCTTAGGGATAAATCTATTTGGTTCTCAGGCAAAACTTCCTAATTCGTAATTAACATGAGAACCAAAATGCCATATTTATCCTTCAGTTCTTTTTTATGTTTTCTGATGCTGTTCTCCTGTGGAGGCAGTGGGATGTATATTGATAAAAAGTGTCCTTAAATGCATTATTTTCAAAGGAAAATGCTTGCCATGCTGTGTATACTAGACAAACTTGTGTGTTAAAAGTCCTTATATAAAGAAATGAAGAAAAGGATGCAAAAAGATTTTTTGTGTACAATTTTATTTTTTGTATTTGATTTGAAGTCCCCCCCCCCCCCCCCCTCTCTATTGGAACTGAAGACAAATGGAAAAATCAGAAACTCTTGAAAAACAGGTGGGAAAAAAATCAAGACTGGAAAAATGACACACTAAATTTGATTCATCTGTCTATATTTTAGACTGAACCACTTTATTCTACAGGCCATCTCTGTGTGTCATGTTTTGACACATGTCCCTTCAGGGGTGGGTCACAACATAGTAATAAAGCACAAGCTTCATAACAAAAGGTTTCAGGTTCTATCTGTGCCATCTTTCATTTCAAAGATTTTTGCAAAGTACTCTAGAGAGCTGCTGCAAATTAAAATAGTCAAGGCTGGGCTACACAGATGAATAATGTGACCTGGTCTAAGGCAGTTTTCTATCTTCGCAAAAACTTTTAAAAGTGTGCAAAAAAGTAGCACACTTTCTGTAGTCCTTCTGACTTGCTTTCTTCCAGGAAGCAGGGTGTCTTCCTCCATCTCCAAGCTGACATGGTCCAACTCCAATGGCTTTTCACCCCATTCTTCGTTATGTGCAACAGGGCTTTTGCTGTCAAGCAAAAGGCAATATTAGGAAAAAGAAGAGTATTGTGTTGTGAATGGCTTTGCACATATTTCATCCTTGTGTGTTCTGCTCTCATAGTCTCTATATGGACGTCGCAGAGCTCAGTGTAATCTGTTACAACAAAAAGCAGCTATAAATGTGTGCAAAAAAGCCCCAGAGGTACAATGAAGGGATGCACAGGAGAGATGTCTCTTTCGCATTGGATATTTTTTACCAATTCACACCCATATATTCTCACATGCTCCATCACTTCTAGTCTTTCAAAACGCAGCTTCAAAATTGTATTGTAATTTTCTCATTTTTAAAAAAATACCCTGGCTTTAATCATCATGGGAGAGATCTGCGTGTTGACATTTCTTAAAATGCATCCACCTTTATTGTCAACAAAATTTGGCAAAGAGGTGGTGGAGAGAGAAATCACATGCACAGTAAGGACTGAATGCCTCTCAACAGCCAATTCCATAGAGCTGTCACCTTATCTGACAATGAGTTGTTCAGCAGTGGAATATGATGCCTTGGAGTGTGGCGGAGGCTCCTTCCCTGGCGGTTTTAAACAGAGGCTGGGTGGCCATCTGTCAGGAGTGCTTTGATTGTGTTCCTGCATGGCAGAAAAGAGTTGGACCAGATGGTCCTTATGATCTCTTCTAATTCATTAATTCTACCTTTTTTTTGTCTTGCTGTGCTCCCAACTCCCTTAAATACCCAAGAAAATAAGTTGCTAAGAAATTCAAAGAATGTGTCTTTATGCCAAACTAATGATGTCTAGATGGACCCCCCAGTATTCAAAGACAATATATCTGTCAGGAAGGCCTCTGTCAGCAAGAACTTCCCAAAGCCAATGCAATTCACTACTCTTTGAAAAATAACACCAAATTGATAATTTACAATAAATTATTGTGGAGTGATGCAGGGAGGGTGAACAGACTCCTTCTGTATCCAGGGTAGCAACCGGTGATGTTCATTCTTGTTGCAGATGTAGAAATCCCTGAGCATCCCGAGGCATATCTTAAAATGACCACAAAAGCTTTGAGAACAGCTTCTGGTAGGCACTGCTACTGCATGTGCACAACATGACAGTCTCCCCTGTGCCGCACGCTATGCTCCTTACTCCGCTCTCATATGCAAGTGTCTGACCTCCCTTGGCTTTTGTTGACACCATGCGCCAGTTGGTTCATGGTGTGTTCTCCTTTTTGTTCTTTTTTTTTTTTACATCCACATACGTTTCTACATGAATCAAGATTTACACCATTTCTGAATTTTCTTCATTTCAGCACAGGGGTGGTTATAGTTACAGCTTGGAAACATAATTTTAGGGGGTCAACAACTCCCAGAATTCTCATTGCCCTTTTTGCATATAATAGTGTAAAAACTCCACTTAGATGTGTGAATGAGTCTAAACTAAATCTTCCTATGTCCAGTCCCCAGAAATGGTATCTGAATGGTTTTCATTGCTTCCATTACAACTTAGCTGAGCTTTCAAGACTTTGGTTCTCATTGGGCAGCCTGGAGTTTTCTTTCTGTACCTGGCATCCAGAATGAGCATTTGTCCATCTCTCCAAAATGAAAGGAACCACTTCTTGATGCTCTTTACTTGGTGTAGTCATGCTTGCAGCATCACTGAAGAAGGGCCCTGTTCCTAGCAGGGGTGGCCAAGGAAATTTTGTTACCTACAGAAAAATCCAAATGGGTTCCCTTCCTTCCTAGTGGGGTAAAATTACACAGCCCAGCCAAAAAGATTATTGGTGTCTTCAGTTTTAGGACTGTTCCAGGGGTTATTTGGAGAACTGATTCAGAAAATTGCATTGGATAGAACACATCCTCTAATTTCTTAGACATGGTTATCATGATTTTCTGTGGTGAGCAGATGAAGACTGGTGGATGGCATAGGTTTTGTATCTCAACAGCTAAAGCTGATAAGGGGAAACTGGTGCCATTTTTGAAATCTGCAAGTATAATATACCCAGAAACAGGACTAATAATTGAGGCACCAAAATATGCTGGCCAGAATGATAATTACCAAAATAGTTGAATTATTTGCTCCATCTCAATGGTATCCATCCACAGATGTGCCAACCAAAGTGGTCACCTCATTCAGCATAGCTACCTCTCAGGCATTGAAAAGGTCACCTTTTGCACTACAATTCCCAGAGTCCCCAACCCCTGTGCTAGGGAATTCTAGGAGTCATTGTTAAAACATTAATAAAACCCTCATTACCTCTGAGGATGCTTGCCATAGATGCAGGCGAAACGTCAGGGGAAAATGCCTCTAGAACATGGCCATATAACACTGAAAAACCTACAACAACCCAAAACATTAATATTTCCCAAGCCTTTTATCAACTCTTCTCATATTGCCTACAGGCATTTTCCAGAATAGCAGAGGAAAGCACCTCCATAACTGCATGGCTGTCATTTCATTGCCCCAAAACACAGCTGACATATGTTTGCAAACAAGCATGCTTTGCAAGGAGAATGGCGAAACTCATCTCCCCCATATCATTACTTGGTTCTTCCTCTTCTGCAGAATGCTTTGAAATCATTATTTTACAAATAATAATCTTCTCCCTGGCCTATCCTGTTCCCTAATATCTTATTTTCTGTATCTTTATTTTGCAATCTCATGCAGCAGGAACATCTGCCTCTGAAACACATACGTGGCACTCTCCAGAAAGCCCAGCTTGTCGAAAACATCCGTATAACCAAAGGGAAATGGTTAGGAGTGTCCTAACTAACAGTCCGGAAACCAGCACTCCTTACAAACCAGGCTATGTAAGTTCTTGATGAGAGTACATTTCAAGATAGTAAGACTTTAAGTATTGAGCCATAGGTTGTGGGCCTTTCGGGGGGGGGGGGGCAGAAGGACCCAGGAGGGGCATACAGTGGATGAAGCTAAAAGCATCATGTAGGTTCAGGTGATTTGTTGTTCTTGGTGCCAGATGTATGTTCTGTAGTTATTGATTACTGTCGAGTTGACTTTAACCCATGGTAACTCCATAAATGAGAGACCTCCTAGTTGCCCTGCTCAGGTCTTCCAAACTCAGGGCTGTAGCTTCCTTGACTGAGTCTACCCACCTGTAATGTGGTCTTTCTCTTTCTGACTGCCTTCCGCATTACCAAGCATCATACTTTCCCTAATAAAAATGAAATACTATTACTCTTAGGTGTTAATTCTTACCAATGTCACAATTCTGCCACCATAGAGTGTTAGCACATAATAATCACAACAGTGTTTGAACAGGGTGTTTGTGTATCTAGTGCTAAGTTACGAGCATACAACCATTTCAATGAATCTTTCCCTTCTGTGTTGCTATATTCCAGGGGAAACAACTAAGCACTGGAAGTATTGATAGCATAAAAGAGATCCCTGGGATCTTGCCTACTGAAGACGCCCAAGGTAGTCAGAACATCATTGGTGTTGCAGCTGTTGAGAAACAGCCAGGTATGTTCAATGTTTTGGGGGAATGGAATAGTGGTGGAGGGGGGTTCTTGAAGTTGTCATTCAAGGAAACTAGCTTTTCCAGGTTGAAGAGGGGAGTACACTGTAATGTATGGCTCCATACATTACAGTGTACTGTGTGTATGTTTGTAAGTGGGGTCATTCAGGAATATCTCTCTAGAATGCATGTTTCTGTATACCTTCTTGACTAATGGTGACCACATGAATGCCATAAGGCCATGTTCTAGAGGCATTTTCTCCTGACGTTTTGCCTGCATCTATGGCAAGCATCCTCAGAGGTTGTGAGGTCTGTTGGAAGTAGGAAAATGGGTTTATATATCTGTGGAATGACCAGGGTTGGACAAAGGACTCTTGTCTGCTGCAGCTAGGTGTTAATGTTTCAACTGACCACCTTTATTAGCATTTAATGGCTTGGAAGTGCCTGGGGGAATCTTTTGTTGAGAGTGATTTGATGTGCCTGATTGTTTCTGTTGTTTTGCTGTTGTAATTTTTGAGTTTTTTAATACTGGTAACCAGATTGTGTTCATTTTCATGGTTTCTTCCTTTCTGTTGAAATTGTCCACATGCTTGTGGATTTCAATGGCCTCTCTGTGTAGTCTGACATGGTGGTTGTGAGAATGGTCCAGCATTTCTGTGTTCTCAAATAATATGCTGTGTCCAGGCTGGTTCATCAGGTGCTCTGCTACGGCTGACTTCACTGGTTGAAGTAGTCTGCAGTGCCTTTCATGTTCCTTGATTCGTGTTTGGGCGCTGCGTTTGGTGTCCCTATGTCTACAAAAATTCAAAAATTACAACAGCAAAATAACAGAGAGTAAATAATCAGGCACATCAAATCACTCTCAACAAAAGATTCCCCCCAGGCACTTCCAAGCCATTAAATGCTAATCAAGGTGGTCAGTTGAAACATTCACACCTAGCTGCAGCAGACAAAAGTCCTTTGTCCAACCCTGGTCATTCCACAGATATATAAACCCATTTTCCTACTTCCAACAGACCTCCCTACCTCTGAGGATGCTTGCCATAGATGCAGGTGAAACGCCAGGATAAAATGCCTCTAGAACATGGCCATATAGCCCGGAAAACCTACAGCAACCCAGTGATTCCAGCCATGAAAGCCTTTGACAATACAATGCCATAAGGTTTCTTTAGTCAAGGAATATTCAGAGATGGCTTGTCACAACCTTTCTCTGCGTATAGCCTATAGCTCCTGATATTCCTTGTGGCCCCCATTCCTAGTACTAACTGAGCCTGACCCTGCATAGCATGCTAGAGGAGGCAGAATCATTTATTTTGTTGCATTTCAACTGCCCCCCTACCCTTTTAGATCAGAGATGGACAAAGGGTAGTCTAAGGGCAGCATCTGACCCCTGAAACTGTTTTTGTGTTTCAGAAGCCTTAAATCACATTTCTTCTGGAAGACAAATTGCTTTTAAAAGCATCCAGAAATAACCTTTCACCTTTTAAATTGGCCACAGGCTCCTCTTGTACTGTTCAGCCTTTAAAAAAAAACTGTTTTTCAAACCCAGAACTTGACTTTTGGCTATTTCCAGTTTTGTTCTGTTTTTCCATCATTTTGGCTATGTAAATGTGGCTTGAAAAGTACCGTGAGGTAGAAATACTGCCAGATCTTTCAAAATTCCTCACCCCATTGTAAAGGATTCTTCATGGTGTGGCATAAGCAAAAGTATGTAAATCTATATATATAAAAATGCTTTGTGCATAATGAGTACCTTAAAAACAAAACAACCAATGAACGAAATCACACCAAATTCGGCAACAAAATGTCTCACAACATAAGGAGTGACCATCACTCAAAAAATGATGATGTTGTCATTTGGGAGTTGTAGTTGCTGGGATTTATAGTTCACCTACAATCAAAGAGCACTCTGAACTCCATCAACCATGGAATTGAACCAAACTTGGCACAAAGTTCTCCCATGACCAACAGAAAATACTGGACGGGTTTGGTGGGCATTGAGCTTGAGTTTTGGAGTTGTAGTTCACCTACCTCCAGAGAGCACTGTGGACTCAAACAATAATGGATCTGGACCAATCTTGGCACGAATATTCAGTACACCCAAATATGAACACAGATGGAGTTTGAGGGAAATAGACCTTGACATTTGGGAATTGTAGTCACTGGGATTCACAGTTCACATACAATCAAAGAGTATTCTGAACCCCACGAATGATAGAATCGGGGAAAACTTCCCACACAGAATCCCCATGACCAACAGAAAATACTTAAGGCAATCCAAGGCCATTTTCCAGATCAAGAGACTGGGCCACACAAACGCGTGGCAGAGAACAGCTAGTATACTATAAGCTGCTATGGAACCACACCTTGTGAACAAATACTGTGAAGAAAACCCTGGCTCACCATAAGTTGGAAACACCTTGAATGCACACAACAATAACAATACAGTTTGTATGTCATAGAAACTTCAAAGCTTAAAAATTCAGAGACAGAATTGGAAGCTAATAAAGAAAAATTATTTAACTATCTCATAACAGCAGCTAGAATTTGTTACGCGAGATTTTGGAGAGTTAAGGAGACCCCCACACAAGAACAGTGGCTGATCAAGATAATAGATATTATGAACATGGACAGACTAACACAGCTAATGAAGGCAAACCAAAAGATGAAGATAACAAAAACAGACTGCTACCGAGTGAAGAATTACTTAATTCGGGAAAATTTCAGATGGATAATAAACATTTAATGACAATTAAATATAACATTCCAATGAAAAATGCAACAAGAGGACTAGCTTCCCAATCAAAGAGATCATTCAATGAAAATTAGAGGTCAGATGCGAAGGCGACTGGAAGCCAAAAGAATCTCCCCCCCCTTTCCTTTCCCTATTCTCTCCCCCCAACCAATCCCATCCTTTCTTACCCCTCACTTTTACCCTTAACACATTTCTTCCCCATCCCTAACCCACCCAGCCCTTGTCGATACCAACTCCTCCCACCTTTCCCCTCATTTCCCCTCCCTCTTTTTTCCTCCTTTCTTTTTATTAACTATGTTTAAAAAATTCAATAAAAATATTTATAAAAAAATAAAATAAATAAAAGGACTGTGAGGTAGAAATATTGCCAGATCTTTCAAAATTCCTCACCCCATTGTAGAGGATTTTTCACAGCGGGGCATAAGCAAAAGTATGCAAGTATACTATAAGCTGCCGTAGAACCACACCTTGTGAACAAATACTGTGGAGAAAACCCTGGCTCACCATAAGTTGGAAACAACTTGAATGCACACAACAACAATACAGTTTGTATGCCACAGAAACCTCAAAGCCCTAAAATGATAAGTCTTCTCAGATTTCAGATCTTTTCCATGTAATTATGTAATTAAATGCAGGCTCCATGGAGAGATGGGAGCTGCTTCAAGCCCAAGACCTCAGCAACAAGCTGAGAATGAAACAGAATTTGCAGCAGTGGCAGCAACTGAACTCCGACCTCACCACCATCAACGCTTGGCTGGACACCATGGAAGAAGAGCTGGAAGGTCTCCAGGAGGCTGGTCCGGCCAACAGCATCGAGGTCATAGAACAGAGGGTCAAGAAGCTGAAGGTGAGCTGATGGTTGTTTTGGATTAGTGTTGCAATGATAGGCTTTCTGTGTAGCCTTTCTGATACGGCAAAAATGTGTTCCTTACAGAAACAGGCTGGACGTATATGCTCCTGTGACCTAGAGAATCCTATATCAAGTCCTCATGGATAAATATTAAAGCTGACAAAGATTTCATATGCAACTATACTGTGAATCAGACAATGTTGCCCTGCAGTATTCATCTTCATTGGCTGTGTTGTTAAAGCTGCTGGTATCTGTAGCCCAAGCAACATCCTAAGGGCACTTGATTCCCACCCATGCTATAAATATATAAGTATCATTTGCTTTTTAAATGTGAATAATTAAAATGTAAAATGATGTAAAGCAGGTTCTGTGAATGCCTCCAAGACGTCCCCTGATATATATTTAAAATATTTTTGTTTACATACCATTTTAAACAGTATAAAACTACATCTAAGGTAATAATGGAAAGCAAACATACAAACAAATGTACATTTGCTACAGCTACTATCTAAAACTAACTAGCAAAGGGTTATATATGATTTTCAGCTTGCTAGTTTATAATTCTGAGTTATCAAATATTTCATTCTTCTCTATTATGTTTTGAGAAGGAAAACGTTAAGATTCCATCAATTTGTCTACCTTTGAGTATTCTGGTTGTTAAATTCTAATAATAATAATAATAATAATAATAATAATAATAATAATAATAATAATAATCTTTATTTATACCCTGCCACCATCTCCCCGAAGGGACTTGGGGCAGCTAACATGAGGCTGAGCCCAAACGAATGCAATGGAGCAAAAATACATATAAACAAAACAATAACATCAAATAAAATGCTTAGTAATAACATAGTAAAATAAAAATATAAATCACAATAAAACAAATGATAAAATGATAATAGAATTAGACAGGGAAAGAGAGCAAGGCCCATGACTAAAAGTGGGTAAAACTGATAAAACCCATTGGTGAGATAGGTAGAAGTGCTATGTTTCCTGAGGGGGCTCAGACAGGATAACGATGGAATTAGACTTCATCTGAGAGATAAGGTGAAGAGCACCAGAAAGACAAGTTGGACTTGGGATGGGAAATGGCGTCAAAATTGGTTGTTTCCCCAAAGGCACACCAGAAAAGCCAGGTTTTAAAACTTTTTTCTAAAGGCTGTCAGGGTGGGTGCATGTCTAATCTCCCTGGGGAGCACATTCCAGAGCCAGGCAACCACAGAGAAGGCCCTCTCCCTCATCCCCATGAGCCAAAGATTGAAGAGATCGCACAGGTTCATAGGAGGAAATGTGATCACGAAGGTAGGCGGGCCTTGCTACTGCCTTGCAATTCTACTGTCTTGCAATGCCTAAAAGTTACTTTTCCTTCTAGTTTTTTTCCTCATATATTCAATAACCAAGAAACCCTTTTAATAACACCCCTGCTCAAGAATTGCAGACTAAGGGCCATTGCTTGCTTGATCAAGTCTGATATTAAATTACATTCAAAAGTATTTGAATATGAGTGACTGAAACAGCAGTAAAGCTATGGTAGATTATTTTTAGGTGATCGTGTAATAAGTTACATAAAGGAATACTTTTAAACATTAATGCTGAGCTGTTCTAGTAATAGTTGAATCTGATCGTAATCCTTTTACTGGAAAGAACCTTTAGGAGCTTGATAAATTCCCACCCATCCACCCAAGAAAAGATGTTCAGTGTCATATTTCTTCTCTTCCAAGCTAGTTGTTCATTCATTTGTTTGTCTTGATACAAAACTCTTTCTTTCCCACCAGGATATGCTTAAAGCCTTTGATAATTATAAAGCCCTTGTGCTGTCTGTCAATCTGACCAGCAAGGACTTCAAGCAGGTAGACAGCACCGGGTCCAAAGAACTTCAGAACAGACTTCGGCAGGTTAATTTTCGCTGGGAGAAGGCAAGCCTTTTAATGGGGAACTGGAGGAAGAGTTTGCAAGAAGCTCTGATGCACTGCCAGGTGAATAGAACAGTCATTTTATCCCATCTTAGTCTATTCTTCAGATGCTGCTGAGTAAAGGTTCACAAAAATTTCCTGATGTGGGATTGCTGGACGTTTTGAAAGTGTTTGAGTAACTGAAACAGAGATATTTCAGCTGTGAATCTTTATTAGAAGAACCAGACTTTGCTATGTGTGTGTATAGTACTGTAGTGAAATTTGGACTGGTCAGGTCTCCATTTAGCCAGGAAGTTCATTTAGATGATCTTGGGCTAGCTATTATCTCTTTAGCTGACCTGCTTTGTTGTGTTTTTGCAAAGATAAAAATGAACAGATGGAGCATTTGTGCATCTCTCAGGACAAAACACAGGAATTAATAAACCAATAAGCATTCCAGTGTGGCTGGATAAGCACACAGGGCTATGAAGTCATTACACCAAACCTTTGATTCTGGCTCCTTAATTTTAATACTGTCCCACTTCAACTCCTTCATAAATGGCAATAAATAATTATAAATTTACTGTACTAAAATGGTAGCACAAGGTATTTCATTGCCATCACTGGAATCATGAACCTACTTCAGCTGATAGCACATAAAATGTATTCCTTTGATTAAAATTTCTGTTTCCATCTAACCTCGTATTTTCAATAGTTTGGTCTTCAAGACATTTTGGACTTCAGCTCCCAGAATTCATGACAATTAACCAAGCTAACTGTGGTTTCTGGGAGTTCAAAACAACAGGAAAACCAAAGTTTGGGAACAAATCTAATCAAAGTAATCCAGTCTAACCTAATCTGGCTGTCATAATGTCATGATGCATCTCTTCTTTAGCTGGTATGATCACATATCAATATATTTCATCCTCATGGCCTCTGTGAATCGCACAGTTGTGTTTACTCTGCTTATGCAGGCTCAAATGGAGAAGCTTTACAAGCTCTCATTTAAAAATTCGGCGGTAACCCCATCCAATCCTCTTCAGGGCATAAAGGGTTCCCTAGCAAGGTGTCCCTCAGTTTCTTTTCATCCACCATTGAAACAGCTTGTTAGGAGCTTTGGTTGTCTGCATTGTTGTGCTTCTCATGCTTTTCCATCATGCCAACCACTTACAGATGCAGCCAATGCACTGCTAAGATACCTGATAGCAATAGGCACTGGAAATGTCTCCAGTGCCTTGGAGAAAGCCACATTGTGGGCTCATGCCAACATTGCAAGGCTTTCATAGCACAAGCCAGGAAGAACAGAGAAGTGAGACTCCACTCTCTCCTCTACCAACAAGAGTTGGCCCCATCAGCATCTGCTACACCATCCATAACCTCATCTAAGGCTTCAAAGACCTCAAAATTGAAGCCAGGACCTCCTAAACAGTAGGTCCCATCTACAGCACCATCTGCTTCGGCCTCAATAGGTTCAGCTAGGTTGACACTCTCAATTACAGTTGCTCCACCTACATCCTCATCCATAAGAATTACCTTAAAACACTCTCTCAAAGATTCAAGTAGAACACAAAGAGACAAACTGCCATGTGGGGACTTACATTCTGTTCCTCCAATGTCAGGTAAAAGTCTCAAGGCATAGCTTGTACAGTTTTTTCCCCATTTGAGCCTATGCAGGCATAGTAAACCCAACTGTGTGACTTCACAGAGGACCACTCAAAGAAACACAGTTACAAGTATGCAACCTGTCCTTCTCTGGCTTGGTTTCCATAGGATTTCCATGAGATGAACCAGAAACTTCTGCTGTGGCTGGCTTGTGCAGAGACACGCAGACATCACGCACAGGTTAAGGATGCAAATGCTGATCCTCACATCATACAGGAGAGTCGAAAGGAATTAATGGTAGGTGGAAAACAGGGGTATCCTCAGAGAAACAGCCTTTGTTTGGAGTCATTCCATTTGATGGTGGTGGTTGAGATCCTAGAATTTGTTTGCTGGTTCCCTAGAATCAGGAGTCATTATATGTGTGTGGTTAAATATAAATAAATGAAATAGTCAATAGTTATATGCATAAATATGTGAGAGGAAGCCACAGGGAGGAGGGAGCAAGCTTGTTTTCTGCTTCCCTGGAGACTAGGACGCGGAACAATGGCTTCAAACTACAAGAGAGGAGATTCCATCTGAACATGAGGAAGAACTTCCTGACTGTGAGAGCCGTTCAGCAGTGGAACTCTCTGCCCCGGAGTGTGGTGGAGGCTCCTTCTTTGGAAGCTTTTAAACAGAGGCTGGATGGCCATCTGTCAGGGGTGATTTGAATGCAATATTCCTGCTTCTTGGCAGGGGGTTGGACTGGATGGCCCATGAGGTCTCTTCCAACTCTTTGATTCTATGATTCTATGATTCTATGAGTAATACACACACAGCCCTGGGCTAATGATTCAGTACTATTATAGCATGGCTACTATAATCTCGTATCTCTCAATGGTTCCTGCTATTTTCCCATTTCAGCAATTAGAAAAGGAACTTCTGGAACGGCAACTTCAAGTAAACACTCTGCAGGAGATCTCCACTCACTTGCTTGACAAATCAGGTGGAGATTATGCAGAAGCTGATGAGAAGGTCCATGTCATTGGGAAGAAGCTAAAACAGCTCCTTGAAGGAGTTTCACAAGATTTAAAGGTTTCACAAGGAAGCCAGGTGAGCATGGCTCTCAGTTTGAGCTTAGATCTGTATCCCCTGACAGGGCTAATAAACCTGTGGCGTAAATTTCTGCAACACATAAGAACTTTTTATGCTGTTTTTGCTCCAGGACATAAGTGCATTTCAGACGCAAGGGAGTGAAGTAGATTCTGGAAGGTATCACCAACTCTCAGAGAAACCTTCCACCTACAGGCATAAGGCAAGCTGTTTTTATCTAGTGTCTTCGCCCCACACCCCTCATTAAATATTTTCCTGCAATTTGCCAATTCTCCTGATTTAATCTGAACCTTCCAGGAAATCACCATAATGTATGCCTGTATTACAGGGTGGAGTTAATTACAAAAATATTTCCTGGATTCAGAAGTGAAGGGAAAGGCTGAATAATTGTTTATACCCTCTAATCATTCCTGATGTATGGCATTGGCAACACTATCATTGGGTTTTCTTGGCAGGATGTGTTCCGAGGTCTGCTACTGCCTTTCCCTTTGGCTGAGAGAGTGTGACTTGCCCAAAGCTGCCCCTTGGGTTTCCATACCCAATTGTGGTTTTTAACCCCTGATCTCCAAGTATTTTAATATATGCATTTTAATAGTATTATATTGTATCTGTGTGTTTTAAACTATATTGTATTTTACCTCAAGCCGTGAGGCAGACGGGTAACAAATAAAAGTTATTATTATAACATTATGGAGTGGGTTAAACCCCTGTGCTGGCAGAACTGAAGACCGATAGGTCGCAGGTTCGAATCTGGGGAGAGGCAGATGAGTTCCCTCTATCAGCTCCAGCTCCTCATGCGGGGACATGAGAGAAGCCTCCCAAAAGGATGATAAAACATCAAATCATCCGGGCGTCCCTTGGGCAATGTCCTTGCAGACAGCTAATTCTCTCACACCAGAAGCGACTTGCAGTTTCTCAAGTCACTCCTGACACGACAAAAAAAAATAACATTACCACTCTGACTGTTTGAATTTATCTGTATTTTAAATATGTTAATAGATTTAATAGTTTCAAATGTTTATTTTTAATAGTTCATTGTTTAATGCTATTTTCATGTTTAGAATGAAAATTGCATGTTGTATTGTTTGTAGTGTTAGCCACTTTGTGTCTCTTTTTAGAGAAATAAAAGTGGGGTAATAAGTTAGATATAAAGTTTCCCAAAAGTTGCCATAGATAGGGAAAATGGAAAATTGTAGCTAAATGTACCTTTATTTACAAAATATTCATTACAATTTTAGGATGCTTGAAATTGTCTGTCTCTCTGTGTAGAAAATATTCAAAATATTAAATATAGTCTTGAGTTTGTTAATTTTTCCTGTGTATGAAAACTTATGGGACACTCTTTATTTGTGAAAGCAATTATTCTGCAGCTTCTGTTCCTCCTATACAGAAGTCCTTTGGGATAATAATAATAATAATAATAATAATAATAATAATAATAATAATTTTAATTTTGTATCCTGCCACCATCTTCTCAAAGGGACTCGGGGCAGCTTTTATACATGGCACAATGTGCCTAAAAACGGAACATAAAATTAAAATAATTTTAAAATAGAAATGAATAAAACATATAAACATATAGAACAACAGCAACTAGCACTCTATTAAAAACAGCACTCATCAACCGTATAGCTCTTGCTTACAATTTGCATTTTTGTGTCTTTTCCCCCCTCTCAATAATATTTATGTATTAAATATCCACAGGGCGACAGAAGGAAATCATTGGAGAATAAGATCAGCAGTAATATTAGGTATGGCTTTATGAATTTCCTTATTTGAATTAATAAAAAGAACATTGAAGTTCAATAACAACCTGATACCCAACATACTATATATAGTGCAATTATTGTGCCTGTTCCTCTTGTTTGAGTAAATTGTAAGGAGCCAATGAGTTGTAGAGACATCCCTGGGAGAGTGCAACCCAAGAGGAAACAATGCTTCAAATGTCTGATTACATGTGGAACAAAGGTGCTGTTCAGCAGGGGAATATGCTACCTGGGAGTCCAGGAAGCCACAGGGAGGAGGGAGCAAGCTTGTTTTCTGCTTCCTTGGAGACTAGGACGCAGAACAATGGCTTCAAACTACAAGAGAGGAGATTCCTTCTGAACATGAGGAAGAACTTCCTGACTGTGAGAGCTGTTCAGCAGGGGAACTCTCTGCCCCGGAGTGTGGTGGAGGCTCCTTCTTTGGAAGCTTTTAAACAGAGGCTGGATGGCCATCTGTCAGGGGTGATTTGAATGCAATATTCCTGCTTCTTGGCAGGGGGTTGGACTGGATGGCCCATGAGGTCTCTTCCAACTCTTTGATTCTATGAGTTCTATGAGAAGTCTCCTTCTCTGGTGACTGTTAAGTGGAGTCTCCAGAGAAGGAGTGCTCTGATTGCGTTTTCCTGCATGTCAGAATGGGATTGGACTAGATCAGTAGTTCTCAACCTGGGGTCCCCAGATGTTTTTAGCCTTCAACTCCCAGAAATCCTAACAGCTGGTAAACTGGCTGGGATTTCTGGAAGTTGTAGGCCAAAAACATCTGGGGACCCCAGGTTGAGAACCACTGGACTAGATGGTCCTTGGGGTCTCTTCCAACTCTATGATTCAGTTATTCTCTCTAAGCCAAGTTTCCTGTGTTTGCAGAACGGAGGATGGAGACGAAGCCCGTCCTGCTGCTCCCAAGACCCTTTCCTTCTTTTACCGAGTTCTGCGAGCCGCCCTCCCTCTCCAGCTGCTCTTCCTCCTCCTCCTGCTTTTGGCTTCCTTGATCCCTTTTTCCGAGGAAGACTACAGCTGTACACATGCCAACAACTTTGCCCGGTCTTTCTATCCAATGCTGCGCTACATCAACGGACCTCCGCCAACTTAAAATCCCCTCCTCTCTCCATTTCTTTTGCACTCAACCAAAATTAATTTTCCTCCCTGGGTGCTCTCTGTGTGCCATTACCATAAGGCCAGGGAGTCCACTTAGTGGAAATTGCTCTGTGACTTCCCATCCGAGTCCATTGGCACTAATGACTCTCAATAAGAACATCCCACCTTAAAATCTCTATTGCAGTTGACAGTAACTAAGAAGATTGACCTTCACCTTAATTTTCTGCTGTCTACACAAGGGAGTGCAACCTTAGTCTCCATATAGATCCTTTAGTGATTTCAATACTTGAGATGGGAGGGGATTGAGTTTTAATTAATCATAGTTTTGTACAGAAAAAATGCTATTTCTATATATTTTTGAACTGTAAGCAAAAAAGCCTGGTACTTTTGCACAATGTGTGATCGGTCGGTCAACAATTATGGTGGATGATCCACTGAATGAAAAAATTGGTATTATGTCAGCATTAAAACAACTTCCCTACTTAATCATCATTGCCCACAATCTTCCAGAATGATAAGCCTCACTAGAACTAATGGGAACAGTGCAATTTAATTGCAATGGGTCTTGTATTGAAGGGTGCCCTGATGGATTGAGCCCATAGCTCATAATGTGAAGAGAAGCCCTTCCAATGGCAAGAACGGGGATCACAAATCTACAGTTGTATTTTGGTACTGTGCAGGGAAAGGTTTAATTTTTAAAAGAATATTTGTTATACTCTAAATATTTTAGCAGCATACTCTCTCCAATTAATGTATATATTTCCAAGAGAAAGATTTTAGTACGTAGAAACTGCTGCCTTGTCTGAAGTCTCCTTTTTTTTACTATGTTTTTCAATATATCTGTATATAAAAAGAAATGTTGCATGGAGAGGTGGGTTTTATTGTTCAAAGTTTTCTAAAGAATGGGGGGAAAAAAACCTAAATGTAATTTGTGTTGATTATCTCCCATATGTATACCAATGAACTGTGTAAGCCGGTGGCTTTTTAATAAAAAAATGTTTACATTTAATCTTTGAACTATGTACAGTATTCCAAAAAAGTGAGTTTTTTAAAAAATTAATGATTCAAGGGCACAATCAAGGGCACCCTGCATTCTACGTGGGGTTGCATTTCTACGTGGGGTTGCCTTTCAAATGGTCCAATAGACAGCAGCCAGAGTGGCATATAGAGAGAGCACATCCCTCCTGTTGCATCAGCTCTAAATGGTTCCGGCCCAGCTTACCTGTCCAAACGTATCTCCCTCTATGATCCACCTCGAGGCTAAGATCACCAGGAGATACCATGCTCTCATTCCCACCCCTCTCACAAGCGTGACTGATGGGGACAGGGGACAGGGCCTTTGCAGTGGTGGCCCCTCATCTATGGAACTTCCTCCTCGGTGAAATTAGATCACCCCCCTCCCTCCTGGCCTAAAAACTAGAAATATGACTCTGGGATGGAAGTCCACTTAAATAAACATAAGCCCACACAAGATTTGCCCAAAATATGTAGTGTGTGACATAATGTAAAATAAACTACATGTAGTTCACGTTTGATCACCCCACACACTGCCTTGCCAGAGGAAAAAAAAATGCCATGCAGATTATCAAAAGAACAAATAGTTGACTCCTCATAAATCCATAACAACATATCTACAATGTGATCAGCTGCACCAACTCACATAATGTCATGAAAGATTTAAAATGATCTTTCTTTTGTCCATGTGGATAAATTCCTTCAGCAGTTCATGAAGCAAGAGCACACTCCAAACTTTGTGTCTCTCTGCTTCACTCTTCTCTCTGTGCATGTGCATAGTTCAAGCCTGAATAAAAATGTAACAGTAACCAAAAGTCCCAGGCTCAGCCATCTCCCCGGACATTGCCCAACCAATCAGCTTCATGCATCTTATTTTACAATTGGCACACACTCACTGATTCCTTGCATGCTCACTGATTCATAGCATGCTTTATCTTTAAAGAAAACTTCCCAAGATTGGCAACAGGAGTAGGATTTTTAAAAGCATTTGAGGAGAGAATTTCATTCTGACCGGGGTTACTTAAATTAAATAATTTATCATCTGGGTAGAACTCACTCTGCATCCTATCGGGCCTTCAACTAGTTCATGATCTGATGCGCTATACATTCTATATGGATAAAAAGCCCAAAACAATGCTTCTATTTTGATGAAGGATAACTTGAACATTTTTAATTCTTGAAAGACACCTATATTAATAGGGCAATTCTTCAAATATTGAAACATGGCTGTTTTGTCAACACTTACATCTTCTCTTCTCCAGGTTAAGCTTATCCAGCTGCTTTAGCTGTTCCTCATTGGATATGGTTTCTAGGCCTTTTGATTATGGTAGTGGTGGTGGTGGTGGTAGCAGTTTCAATTGGTCCAAAGCACCTGGAATATTGTGTCCAATTCTGGGCACCACAATTCAAGAGAAATATTGACAAGCTGGAATGTGTCCAGAGGAGGGCGACTAAAATAATAAAGGGTCTGGAGGACAAGCCCTATGAGGAGCGGCTTAAGGAGCAGGGCATGTTTAGCCTGAAGAAGAGAAGGCTGAGAGGAGATATGATAGCCATGTATAAATATGTGAGAGGAAGCCACAGGGAGGAGGGAGCAAGCTTGTTTTCTGCTTCCTTGGAGACTAGGACGCAATGGAACAATGGCTTCAAACTACAAGAGAGGAGATTCCATCTGAACATGAGGAAGAACTTCCTGACTGTGAGAGCCGTTCAGCAGTGGAACTCTCTGCCCTGGAGTGTGGTGGCGATTCCTTCTTTGGAAGCTTTTAAACAGAGGCTGGATGGCCATCTGTCAGCGGTGATTTGAATGCAATATTCCTGCTTCTTGGCAGAATGGGGTTGGACTGGATGGCCCATGAGGTCTCTTCCAACTCTTTGATTCTATGATTCTATGATTGTGTCCGAGATGCAACAGAAGCATCACATACCATAAAAGTATACCAGAGTAGTTACATGTAAATGTTCTACACTGATTGTATATATCACTGTAGTACAATAAATTACTAAGCATTGTATACCTCCCAATATGAGCCTGAAACAATGTACTTACATAGCACCTGAAAAGTGCCAACAGTTTGCACAATGGTTATATGGCTTCTTCCAGTCATAATCTGGTTTTAACCCATCCGCAACATCCTAAAATACACAGCCACCAACATAAAGTGACCAACAGAATCCTAGCCTACATTCCCCCCAAGGCAATGGACTCTCATAAACACAGGCACTTTGTAGAATCCTTTTCTTTTTCACTGCCTCCTTACACATTATGCCTTTCCCCATTGGTTCTTCCTTTAATATTTCACCTATTTTTATTCTGCGCTCCATGACATGAATCTACAAGCAATTTATTACCAAGTGAGCAAGCATATGATCAGAATCTGCTTGTTTTTTTTGTTTTATTTCTTTCTGGATTTGGAGTATCAAGGTTTCCATTGCTTGCCCAGACATAATATTTTAACAGGTGTGGGGACGTCACACTGTGTGTACACATAAAGATTCACTGCCTTTTCTGCATTAATGAAGAAAGAACAGATGTCCTTGTTGTCCCACATGGGCTTCTTGAAAAAGAAGCTAATAAAACATTGCTGCATGTGCATGAGACTCCTCAGTCAGATTAGCCATCTTCGTTTTTGTTTAGTGGTTCCGCTCACATTTTATATTCAGATTGATGTTTTTTTCATTTGGAACTGGAGGTCAACACAAGTATGGTTAGGGATCGAGGAGTGATGCTGTGCCTATACAGTACTTTGCACACAGATGATCCTGTGTTAGCTCTTTGGCATCTCCAAATGAGACTATGAAGGACCCCTACTTGAGATCTTTAAAAGTCACTGTTGGTTAGGGTAGAGAATACTGAACTAGATGGACCAATGGTCTCAGTATAAGGTAACTCCATATGTTCATTAGCTGAATCACCAAAATCTGAAATACATGATTAATAAAAAAAAATCATTAGAGTCCCACATAATAACAAATATGTGAGACTCTAATCTTGTGCAGTGCTAGGAAATCCATTGCTGAGCTACATGGGATAGGGAAGCCCTCTTAGCCTGTTGCATCAAAAGCAACAGCCCTGCAGACTACAGTATCTTAAATTTTAATGGATTTATTATGACATCTATTCTGTGGACGAGAACTCTTATATCATTAGGATGCGTATTCCATCCTAGGACAGAGAATCTGATCCTTATCAAGTACCTTAGATTAGGACTCCCATTCATCGTTGCCAACATAACCAGTGCTCTGAGATTTTAGGACATACAGTTGACATCTAGGCAGTAGATTGCCTATTCCAGTTTAGGTATTCCACTTGTCCCATGGAGGACCATTTAAAATGCAGCAACAGTCACACATCAAACATTGGGATAATGGCTACCCTCAATTTTCATTTCATAACAAAAAAAACAATGCACTTATCAGAAGTTTAGGGAACTTTACTGTAAACAGTGCTCACTGCTCAGTTAAAAGCCTTCACATAGAAATCTACACAGTTTTTTTCATAAATGAACATAAATCTCAGCCATTGTACCATTTCCACACTTTGGGCTCTGAGGAATTAGCCCTGCCAAAGGATGTAAAGAATCTTCAGAATGTTTCTCCTTACTGATAAGAAAGGGTGTCTTGGCACATCAAGTTACACCTATGAAACAACTATCAACTGTGCCAATATTTGTTTTGCAAAAGGAAATCTCAAATTGTGAAAGAATTTTCCAAAGATCAAAGCAACAGGGAAAATTTTATATATTTTTTTCTTCTACGCAAGAATGAAATACTAAACATTTAAAACTGCAACTCTGACCATCAGGTTTTTTTTTTGTTGTGTCAGTAGCAACTTGAGAAACTGCAAGTTGCTTCTGGTGTGAGAGAATTGGCTGTCTGCAAGGATGTTGCTCAGGGGATGCCTGGATGATTTGATGTTTTTATCATCCTTGTGGGAGGCTTCTCTCATGTCCCCGCATGAGGAGCTGGAGCTGATAGAGGGAGCTCATCCGCCTCTCCCCGGATTCGAACCTATGACCTGTCAATCTTCAGTCCTGCTGGCACAGCGGTTTAACCCACTGCGCCACTGGGGGCTCTGACCATCAGGTCTTTTGGGAACATAAGATGTTTCTCACTGTACATGCATATGAGAAGAAAAGAAAGAAAATGTGGTAGGTGCCAGTGGGTGAAAGGGGGCACCTGATGCCTCCTTACTGTCTCCATTCCTCTGCTCTGAGCAGTGTGGCCCACCTCTTGCCTAGTTTCAGAGCAAAAAATAAAGATTGCGTAATATGGCAAATCAAAGCTCAAAAACACATCAGCATTCTGAACAGCGTAAGGCAGCAAGCATCTCCAAAACCACTCAGCATGCTTGGACCTGATCTATTTATATAAAAGTCAAAGTAGGTGGTAGGTAGGTAGAAACCACAAAGGCTCTTCCATAGCTGGATGGATCTGGACCAAACGTGGCACACCTAACCTTCATTATCCAACCTAAAATAATTGAGGGGTTTGAACTTGTAAAAACCCATCCCTTTTGGGCCCAGAGCAGAAGGAAAGAAAAAGAACAAAATGTGTTAGCTATTGTTAGGTGAAGTGGCCCTTTGTGATATAATTGGGAAACAAAGGGAGTGAAGCAGATTGGTTGCTAATAAGTGACATTTGTATGAAGTGGAGGGAGAGGAAAAAAGAAAATATGAGGGGAGGGGAAGAAAGAGAAAGAATGGAGAAGGAAATGAGGGGGGGAGAAGGAAAAAGGAGGGGAAGGGAGGAAAGGGAAAAAGGTATGAGAGGAGGAAAGACAAAAAAAAGAAGGGAAGAGAAAGGAAAGAAAGAAGAGCAGAAAGTGTATGAGGGAAAGGGATGAACAAAAAGAAAGAGCCATAAAGAAAATACAAATCTGAGAAATGCCAGGTATATATTCTAGTTGTGTTATAAATGTGCTTCTCATTCTCACCTGGAGTTGTATCAGCTATGGTTAGCAAAAGGATGGAAAGGAACACGCTACCGAATTGCCGTTGTGAATTAAAGTTTTGCAGGCAGGCAGGCAGAGGTTGTCTCACAATGCAGATTTTGTGCATTAAGAATGTTTTTGGCACATAGCACCCATCCAAACACAATCAGAAAAGATGTCCCTCTCCATAGCCTCCCAATAACGCCTAAATATATGCTCTCTCATCTTTATCCAAAGTATATTCAGAAAAGAGTGAACACACTCATATCTGCTCATGTTCCCGAACTCTAGAGTGTTGTATGTGTTCCTGTGTGAAAAAGGAACAAGGCACACTTGCACATTCACTTATATTGTCAGGGCTTGACCTGTGCCACATCTACTTTTGTGTGTACAGTTGCCTCATCCATTGAAGTGAATGGGGAAATTTTTGTCACTGTGCATATGCATGGAAATGCATGAAACTACCACTAGAGCATTCTCTTAATGCTCCAATAATTGAGAGTTTACCTCCTATGCTGTGCTTTTTTTCCCCTTTGGGAGGAATACATTTATAGACAGCTGTTTCTCCTAATTCATTATTAAAACCATCACAATAATCTCAATCCTGTATAATTAAAACATAAAATCATAATTCACAAATTCTCAATATTCACAGTAAATAATTCGTTTGCACCAGCAATACACTGCATAAGCTATATAGCAGGAAACAAAAATGCCCACTCAGATGATCGATCTCTTAGCAGCCGATACAAATCAGGTCTTTTTAAAAAAGGAATGAAGAAAGAAAGAAAGTTTCCAGTCCACAGTTGTCTGTCAATAGACAAATTCTCTCCAGGCCAGGGGCTTTCAGATAAATAGAACCATTTACTCCACATTTCCATATTTACTGAAGGTGGCTTTGCACAAAAGGGAAACATATGTCATTGTAGTTAACAAATGAAGCAGCACACATTTCTAATGGGAATGGTAGCCTCCCAGTTGGCTCTATTATACAGATTGCTATGAATAATTCACGGATGGAAAGCAACACCTTAAATCCTTCCGTTACTGGTTAGCAGAAGTAGCTTCTATTTTCTCCATCTGCTGGATTTTTGCAGTAGGATCCTAGAGCTATGTACTGCACACATTTCCTTCTTTTAAATAGAAAAAGAACAAAGGAAACTTCTCTGCCACCCAACGAGGGCATCATAAAGCTTAAGGCTCATGTGGCGCTTCAATATAGTCTTCCTTTCGAAGGCACTCCAGAAGTACAACTTTTGATAAAGCCAACATCAAAGGCAGGTTGTGCCATTTCAACCCCACAAGGCTGTTGCAGGACAGTACAAGATGACAGGCAAAGCAGCAGTAAAAAGATCCAAATGTGTCCTATATAAAAAATCACTAAAGTTTCAAAACAGAATTCCCGGTGCTGGTTCTTTCTTTGGAAAAAAAACCCAAAGCACCAAATACCTCAATTTTAAATCTTGAAATGCATTTTCTCTCCACTTCTCTGGAGTTCTACTTCATTGTGATATCACAATTGTGTCCCCTTCTGATGTTTCAGTTGTGAGATCAGAGTTGCGTGCCATCTGTCGCCTCTGTTTGTTCCGATGGGCTAATCTCCAGGTTGGAAATAGGTGTTTTCCTGTGATTTCGGACAGTGTGAGCATTGAGCATTTCCAGCAACAAGTCATAGACAGGGACCACGTTTTTACACTTCATGCTAAGAAGGTGCTCCATCCCTTTGTTACTGTAAAGAAAGCAAAAAAGGTCAGCACAAACAGGATAGAGCCACAACAGTTAAAATGATGTCAAACTGCTATAATTCTGCACTGCGTATGATTTCAGTGCCATGCCCAGCTTAATTTGAAGCAATAAAAACGGAGGTAAACATATGGCACTTCTGGTGTGAGAGAATTGGCAGTCTGCAAGGACATTGCCCAGGGGATGCCCGGATGTTTTGACGTTTTGTCATCCTTGTGGGAGGCTTCTCTCATGTCCCTGCATGGGGAGCTGGAGCTGACAGAGAGAGCTCATCTGTGCTCTCCCCGGATTCGAACCTCCAAGCTGTCGGCCTTCAGTCCTGCCAGCACAAAGGTTTAATCCACTGTGCCACCGGGAGCTCCTGTGATAGCAAATCAGAGGAAAGCGCAATTCCAGGAAAACGAGTTGATATTTTTCGGTTTGCTTTCCGCCCAGACATTTCAAGACTATTTTGTTTTTATTAAAACCTCAGCAACATGGGATGCTGAGGTATTTTGGTGATCTTGTGGACCACAAAAAACTGTGTCTATGTGTGTGAGAAGAGAGATACAGACAGCCTGACACATTGTTTTTTCTGGAAGCGCTATGGGAGGTATTTTCTTTGTTGGCCTTGAGGTTGGGCCATATCACACCAACTTGAACCAGACCTTCTATTTCCTAAGCAGGAATTCTGAATGTGAAGGTTTCGTGCTTCAGGGAGAGATAGCAGTTATCTTGTGCATTTTATTTTACAAATGGAACAGAAATACCAGCATTTGTGGTTCTGCCAAGAATAACTCAGCACAGCTTCTAAGTTGTCTATAAACTTTTCTAAAGTGTCTAAAGTGTAGATGACATAGACTCACAAGGCAAAATGCACTTGACCCAGCAACTGCATTTGAATGTAAGTAGAGCCTAAATACCTCAAAAGGTTGGCCATGGATGACCTTGAGATTCCTAGAAGTGTTCTCTTATATTTATTTTCCTCCACTGGGTCCTGTGCCCTTAACCCACACAAAAGAGGGGTAAACTGTACTATACATGCAAACACATCCTGCCACAATGGCTGAGTTCATAGAGTAAAAAAACCCAATTCACACATGCATGCCCAACATTCAAAGACTTCTGCTTCAAATGACAGTTTATACATGTGAATCATGGGAGAACAAATTTCACTTTCACATTAACTGGCAATATCAAAGCTTTTTAACGTGGTTATGGAATGCCAGCGTAATACATAGGACTACTACTCTTGGAGACCAACATTTGAATCCCTGCCCAGCAATGGAAATGTACTGGGTAACATTGGACAAGTCACACCTTCTCAGCCTTGGAGGAATGCAAAGATAAACTCCTTTGAATTAACCTTTCGAAGAAAACCCCATGATACATTCACTTTAGAATGTATCTGGTGGGGACGAGAGACAGGACCTTCTCAGTGGTGGCCCCTCGGCTGTGGAACGCCCTTCCTACAGATCGGCCCCCTCCTTATTGGCATTTCGGAGGAAAGTGAAGACCTGGTTGTTCGAACAGGCATTCTATTAGGTAGTGTAATTGATTACAGGAACACGGAATAATGGATGATGAGATTGGATTCTGATTCTATTGACGAGATGTGAATGATTTGTCATATTGATGTTTAACTGTTGTTATGCTATTGTTTTTAAATGTTCCAATGGTTTTGTAATGTGTGAATTGAAATTGCTGCTGTTAACCGCTTTGAATCGCCTAAGGGCTGAGAAAAGCGGTATATAAGTGAAGTAAATAAATAAATAAATGAGTTGCTGTAGGTTGGAAACATCTTGTAGCCACACAATAACAATATGGGACATGCTCTAATACTCCAACACAGAGATATAACCTACTCTTTCCCTCTATATCATATGAAACTAAAGTTTTCCCAGAACTTGTTAGAAAAGTTACTTTTTTGTACTACAACTCCATTAAGATCTGGATTTCTGTGTCTCCCTTTGAAGACTAATGAACCTATTCAGACCAGATACTTGGGCAGGAAACTCAATTTGATATAGCTACTCAAGACACATGAATATATCAACCAACATCTCACAACAGAAAAAACAGAAATTTCCATCCAAAATGAGCTCAAAGATGTGCTTCTTTGCCATAATTACAAATGTGAATTAAACAGAATCTGCAAGACCTTTTATGATAGTCTTACCTTGCATGCCTGACATGTGAAAGCAGCATGAGTAAATTTGCTAGACGAGTTGTCTGTTGTGGCAGTGGAATCCCACTCTTCGCAATGACCCACACCAAGGCATCGGTCACAGAGTTGAGCAAGTGGTTCAGCTTCCTGTGGCTCTCAGGTTCTTCCGTGGTGGATGGCAGTGGAAACATGCCTGGCCAAAAAGGGGACCAAGAATTAAGATTCACGGCTTACTGATCAATATTCTTGCTCAAAAGAACAAGTGTGGTGTAGCAATTGGAGACTGAAAATTTCCGATTCAGCTATAGAAATCCATGGGTGACCTTGGGTAAGTTAAATTCTCCCAGCACGAGTGAAAGGTCAAAGCAATTCTGAATAAATCTTGCTAAGAAAGCTCTCTCATAAGGCATTCTCTCTGTCCCACCACCCACTCAAGCATGTTTGGTGGTTTCACAGGAGAAGGCCCTTTCAGTGGCTGCTCCCAGACTGTGGAATTCCCTCCCAAGAGATACCAGGATGGCCCGTCCCTGCTGGCCTTTCACAAGCAAGTTAAGACACATCTTTGTCATCAGACATTTGTTGGAGGATGAGGGAAACACTGCTGTTTTGAATCTGGTTGTCCATTGTTTTTGAAGGCAACAAATAGCTGCCTAAGTGTAAGCCGCCTTGAGTCCCTATGGAGAGAAAGGCAGCATAAAAATAAAGTTAACAACAGTGCTCTATGATAGGGTCACCACAAGTCAGTGTTGAACTGAAGATATACAGCAACAACTGTTCAAAAGGGATAAAGTTCACTGAACTTGTCACACTTATAAAGCTGCCTTTTATTAAATCATGCCATTGGCCTATCTCACTCCCTATTACTTGCATCAGGGTTGGGGAAATTTAGTGAGTAGTGGACTATCTCATTTGATGCTGCTATGGGCTAACCATCTCATGGCTACCACCTTCCACCAACATTTGGTGGTTGAGTAACAACTATGACGGCCTTCATGTTTCTGACTCACATATGCATAACTTCCCCTGCAAAAGCAATGGCCCAGTTGTGTCTGATTTATTATTTACTTTATTTATTTACTTTATGTATATACTGCTTTTCTCAGCCCTCAGGTGACTGATGCAGAGGGTTATGGAAGCCAAGCTGCTTATCTGTGTCATTCCACATTTCAACCGTGGATATTACATTTTGACCAAACTCTGATCTGACTTGACCATATATGCCCCAGTTTGCATCTGTGAAATACTGGAAGATATGCAAATGACCAGGGCTTCAATATCCCAAAGGCAAGTGATCCTGTCTCATTTCATGATATAAGCAGGTTAGTCCTGATTAATACTTAGAAGAGAGACCACCAATAATACCAAGTGCTGTAGACTACATTTTCTGAAGGAGGAACTGGAGTGTCCCTTGACTGAAGAAACTAGATTAAATTCATGAGGTCACCATACATTGACAGGTGACTTGAAGGTGGATGTTTTGCTGGGCATGTTTAGCCTGAAGAAGAGAAGGCTGAGAGGAGATATGATAGCCATGTATAAATATGTGAGAGGAAGCCACAGGGAGGAGCGAGCAAGTTTGTTTTCTGCTTCCCTGGAGACTAGGACACAATGGAGCAATGGCTTCAAGCTACAAGAGAGGAGATTCCATCTGAACATGAGGAAGAACTTCCTGACTGTGAGAGCCGTTCAGCAGTGGAACTCTCTGCCCCGGAGTGTGGTGGAGGCTCCTTCTTTGGAAGCTTTTAAACAGAGATGGCCATCTGTCAGGGGTGATTTGAATGCAATATTCCTGCTTCTTGGCAGGGAGTTGGATGAGGTCTCTTCCAACTCTTTGATTCTATAATTCTATGCACACTGCACATATCTTATTTGTAGTGCAAAAAAACCACTTAAAAACAATACATCGAATAAGCGAGACTCTACTGTATCCCCCATATTCTTAACAGTTGCCAACCCAGTCTAGAAGAGATGCAGAATTTGGAGATATTATTTTCCTTCCTTAACAAGAATAAGGCAATGGGACAGGATGGGATGGGAGAAGCTTAGAGGTATCATACTTGTGTTTGAGTGGGTGACCAAGAGGGTGATTTAATAAGTCTTGGGTCGCATACTATTTCATCAAGAGTCCTTCAAAAGGTATAAAAATATAGCACAGCGGATGCTACATCATGGTGACCTAGGTGTTATTTCTGTGCCTCCGTCAGAAAATCATTATAACAAGAGGAAGAGGCCAAAGTACTTTGGGTGTTTTTATTCTATTCGCCTTAATGGCTCTTGCGTCCGTTGATATTTCGACTTCCACCGCCCAACTTTTTGTCTCAGTAATAAGCACAGCTTGACATTGACTGCAGCACATCTACTCACTGGAATTGAGAAGGATCATCGCCTTGACACAGAGATATTCTTTGTGCTGCAATTTCAGCTCTCGCAGTCTTGAAGTTGTTGCCAAGAGCATGTCAAAGATTTCCAAAATCCCTTCCACGCATTTCCCCTCATCCCTAAATTGAAAATGGTTAGAGGGTTAGGAGGAACCCACAATATTATCTCCTTCAAAATCTCTTTTCATGCTCTGATATGCATTTCCTTTTTTTGATCTACAGTCATGATTTAAGCTTTTTCGGGGATGGTGCATCTGCATGGCCCCCAGAGTTGTTTGTTCTCATCCAGTATGTTTGCACCTTATACATACTAGACATGTTAGATTTTAGGCAAAATGTGGCTGTATACAATACCCTTCAACTGAAAATATTTTTCCCTCCAAATATCCCATTTCTGGCAGGGAGAGTCCCAGTTAATCCTGTCATGCCACTTTTTCCCAGCTATTTTTTACAATGGGACATTTTCTGCAATATTTTCAACTTACTTCAGTTACTACAAGCTGACTTCAAGGGGCAAAAGTAGTTTGCACTCAGATAATTCAGCAGGGGAGAGAAGAGAATACAATCTTGTACTTCCCAGTAGACTCAGGCAAAAGTAAACTACTGCATCCTCTCCTAGTTTATATGTTCTTCCACATTAATAACTTTGGCCATCTAGACCATACTTTGGTGTTGCTTGGCCCCATGTACCCTGATTTGGATCTATAGAATGCTGGAGAGGACATCTTATTATGAATATATAATAATTGTATCCTTTCAATGACCTCACTTTGGTATTTCAGACCCCCTCGATGGACTGTCACCTTGTCGTGGTGAGGGGTCTTGCGCGTTCCAATGAACCTGTAGGCACAACAACTGGAGTCGTGCACTCCCAGGAGTGGCCGCGGGGGAGGTTCCAGACCAAGCACAGTCCGAAGACCCAAAGACCTCAACGGGAGCAGGCGGAGGATAACATGGCACATGTTACAACGGCTGCGAAGGCGGAAGAAGGCTGCAACAGACTGAGAAGCCACGGTCATTGTGTTAAACTACATCACCAGTGGAACCTCACTCTGTGAAGTCTGTGTGTTGATCAGTTGTGCACTGACCTCCACACATTAAAAAAACCCACGCACAGGCGTCTTCCAAAGAAAATAAAAACCAAGCAACCAAAGTCCCATGGCGATCAGCGAGTGGCGACGGGGGCAGGACTGTGAAATCTGGAAGCCCCTAGTCACAGACTGGCACATGGGCGGTGGGTACGGACTCAGTCGTTCTACCTCAAGGTCCGAGGCAGTTGAGTAGTTCGGCAGCTGTATCCACGACTGAGCAGCCCTATTGAGGACCCACTCTGCTCACCCCACATGGGGAGGGGGCTAGAAAAGGTGCCCTAAACATAGTCTGCCTCACTTATCCCTGACTGGACTGCCGCGTCCAGTGGGGTCACCACCCTGCGGCCAAAAAAGGAAAATGAACTTCGGTACGTGGAACGTACGGACTCTGATGGACAACAGTGGCAGTGAACGCCCCGAACGCAGAACTGCCATCATTGCAAGGGAGCTGGGACGCTTCAACATCGACATAGCAGCCCTTCAGGAGACCCGGAGAGCAGGAGAGGGACAGCTGAAGGAAGAAAAAGGAGGCTACACCTTCTTCTGGAAGGGACTGCCCGAAAAAGACCAAGAATGCACGGAGTTGGCTTTGCCATCAGGAATGATCTGGTGAAACATCTGTCCGAAGCACCCACTGGCATCAACGAACGACTCTCAACCCTCCGAATCGATCTTGCCAAAAACCAACGGGCAACCATCATAAGTGCCTATGCACCAACACTAGATGCTGACGAAGACATCAAGGAGAAATTCTACTGTCAGCTGGACAACGTCCTATCGGGGATACCTAAGGAGGACAAAATCATCCTCCTGGGGGACTTCAATGCAAGAGTTGGGCGAGACTTCGACCTGTGGCCAGGAAACATCGGAAAAGACGGGGTTGGAAACAGCAACTCAAATGGCATCCTGCTTCTCACCAAATGTGCGGAACACAACCTTGTCATCACCAACACGCTCTTCCGCCAGAAAAACAAGTTCAAGACATCATGGAAGCACCCCCGGTCAAAGCATTGGCACCTCTTAGACTATGTAATCACACGCGCCAGAGACCGCCGTGATGTGCTCCTCACAAGAGCCATGACAGGTGCTGACGACTGCTGGACTGACCACAGGCTAATTCGATCCTCGATGGCTCTCAAGATCGCTCCCAAGCGCAGACTCCAAGGAAGGAAGACAAGGCGCAAAATGAACACCCAAGCCCTTCAGGAGCCCTCCAGACGAGCCCATCTCCAAACAGCACTCAAGGACCATCTACCCACAGTACACCCCGAAAATGTCGAGGAACATTGGAACAAACTGAAGACCTCCATCATCCAAGCCTGCGAAGAAACTATTGGATACCAAGCCAAGAAACATCAAGACTGGTTTGATGAAAATGACATCGAGATCCAACAGCTAATTGACAAGAAAAGGAAAGCCTTCCAAGCATGGCAGAGAGACATCAACTGTGCTGCTAAGAAAAAGATCTATGCCAGTACAAAAGCTGAGGTCCAAAGAAGGACAAGAGAACTCAAGAACATCTGGTGGACAAAGAAGGCTGAAGAAATCCAACACCTGGCAGATACCCATGATGCTCAGGGATTCTTCAAAGCCACAAAGGTCATCTATGGACCAAGAAACCATGGGATACAGCCTCTACGCTCATCAGATGGAACCAAACTCCTGAAGGACCAAAACTCAATTGCACTACGTTGGAAAGAACACTACCAAAGCCTCCTGAACCGCAGCTCCAATGTGGCCGAAGAGGTCCTCTCACAAATCCCGCAACAACAAACCAGGGATGAGCTTGCAGCACTGCCTAGTTTGGAAGAAGTCAGCATGCCATCAGCCAACAGAAGAATAACAAAGCCAGTGGACCAGATGGGATCCCTGCTGAAATCTTTAAAGAGGGAGGACCTGAGCTGACACACCAACTCCACCAGCTCATAGAAAAAGTGTGGGTGACCGAGAAAATCCCAGCAGATTTCAAGGACGCCACCATCATCACCCTCTTCAAAAAAGGGGAAAGAACAGACTGCGGAAACTATCGAGGTATCTCCCTTCTAACCTCCGCTGGGAAAATCCTCGCAAGAATCCTTGCAAACCGCCTTCTGCCCCTCTCAGAAGACACCCTCCCAGAATCCCAGAACGGCTTCCGCCCCTCCAGAGGAACCGTGGACATAATCTTCACTGCACGACAGCTCCAAGAAAAATGCAGAGAACAAAATCAACCTCTGTACATGGCATTCATTGACCTTGCAAAGGAATTTGACACAGTGAATCGCAGCGCTCTCTGGACCATCCTCCACAAAATCGGGTGCCCAAACAAATTTGTGAACATCCTGCGGCTCCTCCACGATGACATGATGGCAACAGTCTTGGACAGCAGTGGCTCCCAAAGTGACCCATTTAAGGTGGAATCAGGTGTCAAACAGGGATGTGTTATTGCCCCACCTCTATTCTCCATCTTCATCGCTATGATACTTCACCTTGTTGATGGGAAGCTTCCCACCGGAGTGGAAATCATCTATCGGACAGATGGCAAGCTATTCAACCTCAGCAGACTGAAAGCCAAAACCAAGGTTACAACAACAGCTGTTATAGAACTCCAGTATGCTGATGACAATGTCGTCTGTGCGCATTCAGAAGAAGATCTACAAGCCACTCTAAACACCTTCGCAGAAGCATATGAGAAGCTCGGCCTGTCACTGAACATTGAGAAAACCAAGGTGCTGTTCCAGCAGTCACCAGCCAATCCCTCTCCAATGCCAGTAATACAGCTTAATGGTGTAACATTAGAAAATGTGGACCATTTCCGCTACCTTGGCAGCCACCTCTCCACCAAAGTCAACATCGACGCTGAAATACAACACCGCCTGAGCTCTGCAAGTGCAGCATTTTCCAGAATGAAGCAGAGAGTGTTTGAGGACCGGGACATCCGTAGGGATACCAAGGTGCTTGTCTATAAAGCTATTGTCCTCCCAACCCTGCTATATGCCTGTGAGACGTGGACTGTCTACAGACGTCACATGCAGCTCCTGGAAAGTTTCCATCAGCGCTGCCTCCGGAAAATCCTGCAAATCTCCTGGGAAGACAAGCGGACAAACGTCAGTGTGCTGGAAGAAGCAAAGACCACCAGCATTGAAGCGATGGTCCTCCAACATCAACTCCGCTGGGCCGGCCACGTTGTCCGGATGCCCGACCACCGTCTCCCAAAGCAGTTGCTCTACTCTGAACTTAAGAATGGAAAACGGAACGTTGGTGGACAGGAAAAGAGATTTAAAGATGGGCTCAAAGCCAACCTTAAAAACTCTGGCATAGACACTGAGAACTGGGAAGCCCTGGCCCTTGAGCGCTCCAGCTGGAGGACAGCTGTGACCAGCAGTGCTGCAGAATTTGAGGAGGCACGAGTGGAGGGTGAAAGAGAGAAACGTGCCAGGAGGAAGGCGCGTCAAGCCAACCCCGACCGGGACCGCCTTCCACCTGGAAACCAATGCCCTCACTGCGGAAGAAGATGCAGAGCAAGAATAGGGCTCCACAGCCACATACGGACCCACAAGGAAATCCATAATGGAAGACCATCTTACTCGTCCAACGAGGGATCGCCTAAGTAAGTAAGTAAGGTATTTCAGAGGCACACATTTCTGTTTGGGTTTTTGATATCCCAATGGTATGTTTCTTGCATCTTGTTCTATTGCACATATATTGTATTATTCTGAGCCATTTTGAATTTATTTTGGGGCAGAATAAGAAATACAAACATTAGTTAATTTTTAATTGACTGAAAGATTAATTGCGATATCCAAGCTTCCTTGACTGCTAGCTTATTATTGCAAAATAAGCTTTTTCAAGCTAGTTCTATTTAGACATGTGCTGACCCATAATTCCAATCACCCTTGGCCAATATCTCAGGGCATGAGTTTGGTGAATGCTACAATGGAACCATCTTTCTTTAACTGGATAGCCATAATCTCTAAGTACTGTGGTAGCAAGTGGTGGTATATAACCCTTGGTCCTATTTGTGAGATGTAGACAGTTAGGTCTTCAAGCATCGGAATATCTTGATTTCCTAACCCAGTCTTCACCAGACAGTTGCTGTAAAAATAATTGCTTGGAATTTTTCATGTACTTCCCAGTAAAGTAACTATCTTACTTGTGTAGTTAAGTAATATACTCCCAGCTTGACTCTCCCAATCATGATTTACCAGGCAGAAGCTGCTGCAAGCAACAGGGATTTGTTCTCCTGTTGATTGGGAAGCAACCCACTGGCATTTCCATCCCACTTCGACAAGCAATCTCTAGTGTGAAGAATTATGAAATGGGTTTTGTTTCTAGCTGCCACATTCAAGATCACTTATGAAACAGGGTGAGAATGTCATTTTGCTGAGTCTCGATTGACAGGAGAACAGATCCCTTGTGTTTGCGGCATCTGCTACCTTCTAAGTCAGGCATTTTTATGATCCCCATGCCTTACAAATACTATTGAAAAGGTAAAGATTGTGAATATTAAACCAGTTATGCAATGCATTCATAACTATGATAATAAATGTCAGCCAAATATTCTTATTTATCTCAACTTCTTAAAGTATGGCTTGCGAGTCACCATTAAAAATAGAGCAGTACAATAGGATTTTATAATTAAAAAAAATACATGCACCCTTGAAACGGTTCAGTGTCTGTTCGGCTTCAGTAAAAACCAGTAACTGGTCAAATCTGTAACTGGCACAACTAGGAATTTCATGGCATATGGTATTCTAAAGGAGCTGCACTGGCTCCCATATCAGCTATCATATGTTGGGCTTATCATTACCAGTGGAACTCACTGCAAAAGACAAAATGTTTGGCAAGGTAGATAGTAATAGGAGAAAACAGAGACCACACATCAGGTTCATTGATTTAAGAAAGGAAACTATGATCCTGTATTTGGGCTGTTAATGACAAGAATTATTAGGCTGGCTCTACACTGTAGAATGAATGCAGTTCAATACCACTTTTAACTTCCATGGCTCAATACTATGGAATCCTGGGATCTGTAACTTGGTGAGGCACCAGTACTCTTTGGCACAGGAGGTGAAATACTTTGTAAAACAATAACACTCACAATTCTATAGGCTTCAACTATGGTTGTTAAAGTGTATTAAAGTGCACTAAGAAGACTGTAGGAATGATATTGCATTCATACAGTTACTCTAAGTTGAAGCCAACTTGAAAGCAACTTAAAATAATTCCAGAATACTAGAACTGGGGCAATTGCTTAGAGATCACTGCTAATAAATCACTTCACTCCATTGTGTACAATTATACTACAGTGATCCCCAGTTTCAAAAATGGCAAGCATCAAATACTATAATTTTCACATTTATATTTTAAAGCTGCAAATCCTCCTGTCTGTACAGGCTTCTTCAGCCCACATGGGTTGAAATGTCAGTAAACTATAATAAATAAACAAAATCAGACAGTCCCTCCAGATGTATTGTCTTACCTGTCTAGGACTAGGTCTGGCGCAAAGATGAGTTTTCCAGGATGGTCAATAGATCTCCACATCAGACCCACCATTAACACTTCCAACCAGCAGCTTTCCAAAAGCCTCACTTGATCATACAGGCTGAGCTCTATGAAACCTTGGAAAACATAGAAGAGGGTGTCATTACACTATAGACAGATCTGCTTCAATCTATTTTTTTCCCATTTGGACAGGCTTGGCATAGTCCATGGAAATCCATTGTGCATGCAACATGCATGGGTGTTCTAGGGGCACTCATGGATCTTGGGTTGTACATTAATCTACACATTTGGCATACATTACATTTAAGAAAACTCAACACAAAGCTTGCTCAGCACTGTCAATACATATTTCTGCATGGATTCACTTGGCTCAATTTCTCTGAAATGTATTTATTTATTTATTTATTTATTTTGAACATTTTTACCCTGCCCTTCTCACCATTAGGGGGGGACTCAGGGCAGCTTCCAATTGGCAATAATTCAATGCCGCATCATAAAATACAAAATAGCAAATATAACAATTAAAAACATGAACATTAATAAATAAAGATTAAACAGTATAGTTATGATCCATTTAGCTATTGCCAGTCTGGTGGCTATTTATCTAGCCATCTACTAATGATTACTCTGCTTAACTTATCCAAATCCACTTCCAAGTCATGGTCAAACATTATCAATTGTCCTTTAACCTAATTGCCCGAAGGCCTGGTCCCACAACCACATTTTTACCTTCTTTCTAAAGGTGAGGAGGGATGACGATGACCTAATTTCCCTGGGAAGCAAATTCCACAGGCGGGGGGCTACCACCGAGAAGGCCCTGACTCTCATCCCTGCCAACTGTGTTTGAGACAAAGACGAGGCCAAGAGCAGGGCCTCCCCAGAAGATCTTAAGCTCCGAGGTGGGACGTAGAAAGAGATACGTTCAGACAGGTACACTGGACAGGAGCCATATAGGGTTTTATAGGTCAAGACCAGTACTTTGAATAGTGCTCGGAATTGGACCAGCAGCCAGTGGAGCTGACACAACAGGGGGGTGGTATGTTCCCTGTATGACGCTCCAGTGAGTAATCTAGCTGCCACCCATTGGACTAATTGCAGTTTCCAAACAGTCTTCAAAGGCAACCCCACATAGAGCGCGGGGTTGCCTGAAAGTAATATAGTCAATAAAAATGTCCCCCTTTTCACAGAGCTATCAAAATATTGGTGTATTTTGTAGATCACTGTTTTATAAAGAAATGAAAGACAGACAGAAGTACATCTAGATTAGAACATGCTTCTATGGCATGTGGAAAGACCCTCCTCAGATTTAGTGCAGAGGTGGGAACCTGCATTCCTCCAAATGCTTTTGCACTGCAACTCCCAGTATTCTTCTCTATTGGTAGTGCCACCTAGACTTCTAAGAGCTGCAGTCTAACAGCCTCTGGGGATCTGGAGGATTCTCACTCCTACCTTACGGATAGGATGCTATGCTATATATGACCAGTGTTTTGTACAAATATGTTATATCACCTTCAATTGCCATCAGATTCTTGAGGGACCCACTGAGCCATCTGGAAATTTGGACAGGTATATTAGCCCTCTGTAATCCTCCCAATTTCTCCCCTCATGCTACACTGCAAGTGCAGGACATGAAACTAATTGGGAATGAGTCAAGTGCAGCCTGTTGTTCTAGTGATGTGCTAAAAGCAGCACAGAGAGGTGAAAAGTGGGCCCTTTTCAAAGGCAAAAGATAAGAGGAGGAATCAAAGACAGAAGCTGAAGAAACATTAAGAACAAGCTACAGATGTAAAATATAGGATTGCCAGGTCCAGACTGTTCTGAGCCATAAGATTTCAGTGCAAAAACCTGAGATTTAGAGATGACCCACAGCATGAAACAAAATTTCACAGGGTATGTATTTCAACTAAAAAGGAATCACTAGGGCTGAGATTGTACATCAAAGTGACAGAGGATAATTTTACAGCATTTTGTGATAATTGTTCATTATTGAATTGGGACACACCTCGCTAAAATAGTGGATGTAGCTCTTAATGAGACATGCCGCATTATCACGGGATGCCTGTGCCCTACACCACTGGAGAAATTACACTGTTTAGCTGGTATAGCACCACCTGACATCCACAAGGAAGTAGCAGCCAATAATGAAAGGACCAAGATAGTGACATCTCCAGCCCACCCCCTTTTCGGATATCAGCCAGCATGCAAACACCTTAAATCAAGAAATAGTTTTCTAAGACCTACAGAGATACTCGCAGCAACACCTCAGCAAGCAAGAGTCCAAAAGTGGCAGGCTAAAACATGGAATCTGAACCCATGACTGATACCAAATGAGAGATTCCCTCTTGGGCACACAGAAGACTGGATGACTTGGAAGGGGCTAAACAGACTGTGCTCTGGCACCACAAGATGCAGAGCCAACCTTAACAAAGTGGAGTCCATGACATGCAAGTGTGGAGAAGAGCAAACCACACAGACCACCTATTGCAATGCAGTCTGAGACCTGCCACATGCACAATGGAGGACCTCCTTATAGCAACACAAGAGGCACTCCAAGCGACCAGCTTCTGATCAAAGGACATTTAATATAATGCCAAGTTTTTAAACTTTGTGTTTTTAATACATTACAACTGTACCCTTGGTCGCACCTGATATGATAAATAAATAAAATTGAATTGCAACATTGTACAACTGCAAAATGAAAAAATGTACAATCTGTATGTGCAACATATATGTACAATGGCACTGCGTGCACAACTCTATTTCAGTAGTCTTCAACTGAAACAGACTTTTAGATCACACAAATATGCTCAAGATACACAGGGAGAAGAGCACACTCCTTTTAAGGCAGTGTTTTCATCCTGGGACTCCTCCCCTTTGTCTTGCATAACAGAGAAGACAACCAGGCCTTGAAATCCGGGGATCTCATGTGTATAATTAATGAATTTCAAGTGCTGTCTTGCAAAGAAAAATCAAAAGAAATGCAGCTTTGGAACCATGTTTTTTTAATAGGAGAGAAATGTCTGGGGAAATGAGAGTTCACTAGCCATCTGTTTGATTAACCAGCTGGGCAACCATTGCTTCATTGGTTGGCTACCAACAATTGATTGCATCATCCTTATGGACACTATGTAATCTTATTACCCAACTACCTAAAGGTCCATTTCACAAGTAGTACTGCTGGGCCAATATATTCCATACTATACTTGTTTATTTGGTTTTGTGGTCTAAAATCACATGAATGATTGCACTATTAAATGCATTATTTATTTATTTATTTATTTATTTATTTATTTATTTATTTATGTATTTGAAACATTTATATTCCGCCCTTCTCACCCTTAAGGGGACAACACACATACGGCAAACATTCAATGTCAGGACTTAAAACCATAAATATATACAAACATTAAAATCACTTATATCCACTTTAAAACCAGTTGCTTAAAAACCATCTCAGGACACCATTCTATTATTGCCTCATTGTACTGCCCCAAAGGCTTGGTCCCACAACCACGTCTTCACCATCTTTCTGAAGGACAGGAGGGAGGGGACTGACCTAGTCTCCCCAGGAAAGGAGTTCCATTGTTGAGGGGCAATCACTGAGAAGGCCCTCTCTCTCATCTCTGCCAAATGCACCTGTGATGGTGGCGGGACCGAGAGCAAGGCCTCCCTAGAAGATCTTAGTCTTCATGGTGGTTCATAATGGGAGAGGCATTCGGACAGGTAAACTGGGCCAGGGCCATTTAGGGCTTTATGGGCCAAAGCCAGTACTTTGAATTGTGCCCAGTAACAAACAGGCAGCCAGTGGAGCTGACATAACATGGGAGTTGTGTGCTCCCTGTATGCCACCCCATTTATTAACCTGGCTGCCTCTTGTTGGACTTTTTGAAGCTTCTGAACTGTCTTCAAAGGCAACCCGACATAGAGCACATTGCAGTAGTCTATCTATTATGAAATCCTGACATTTCCCCAGCTTTATACAGCTGATACAACAAGCAATGTAAACAGTCAGAGCTAAAGGTAAAAGTAAAGGTTTCCCCTAACAATAAATCTAGTCGTGTCTGACTCTGGGAGTTGGTGCTCATCTCCATTTCTAAGCTGAAGAGCCGGCGTTGTCCATATACACCTCCAAGGTCATGTGACCAGCATGACTGCACGGAGTGCTGTTACCTTCCCACAGAAGTGGTACTTATTGATCTACTCACATTTGCATGTTTTCGAACTGCTAGGTTGGCAGAAGCTGGGCCTAACAGTGGTAGCTCACCCTGCATCCCAGATGTGAACCGCCAACCTTTCGGTCAGCAAGTTTAGCAGGTCAGCAGTTTAACCTCCCTGCGCCGCCAGAGGCTCCCTGAATTAAATTAAATTAAAACCTGGGGTTTTTTTAATGTGCTGAAAACTAGTTTTAAGGGGGGGAAACAGACCAGTGTGGAATTGCAAAGCATATTTCCAGTGATGACAACTTGTGAAAAGAGAGTTTTCAATCTAGTCATGTTTATTATGATAAACAACTTGAAATCATTGATATTTGCATTAGTCATGGCTAAATTAAGTTTCATTGATTTCAGTGGGCCCGCTTCAGGTATGACTAATACTAGATCCAACCCAGAGAGATTTTACACCTTGTAGGAGAGAAAATTAATATCCTGAACAGCAGTATGTCCTGTACAAAAAAGAGAGGGAAATCAAGCCAAAACAAGATACATTTTTTTACTAAAGGGCACTTTGAGTGACAAAAGAAGCAGAGATAGTGGCTCAGATGTGAAAATGGACTCTGTTCCCAGCTGAGCACAAATGCCTGGCATTTTCCAATGATCAACCTAAAATTACTTTTCATTAGGGTGCTCATTCAGAACCTTGGCAACTTTAAATTTCATTTCAAACTTTAAAGAAGAGGTAATATTCTCCTTGTATTTCATACCCTTTGCATCATTCACGAGAGGCAGTTTTCATTTTGTCCTGCTGAGCATGTGTTTTGCACACCTTACAAAATGTGGGAATTGCCAGACTACACAATAGTCAGGTTGCTGGGGATACTGCTGGCTGAGTCCAGTGTGTGTGTGTGTGTGTGCATGTGGCGCACATGTGTGTGTGTATGTATTTTATACACACACACACACACACACATATCAGTGTTCTCAACATCATGAATTCGTTTTTTTTAAGCAATTTCAGCTCAATCTTGTTCATTGTGCCCACAATACTAAAATTAAAAAGAGAGGCTAATCATGTTCTCGTACTTCAATTGATTAATTAGATATGTGTTAATACATATACATGTGGCTCTCAGCAGACAAAATAATACAGCTAATGTGATGTAACCCTGCCCTTTCCAATATGATTGAGCATTATCAATTTCTTTCCTTTCAATAGTAATTATTTTGGCAAAGACTGTCCTAATAAATCCTCTATCCTTTCCCTTTATCAGATAATTTTCTCAGTTTTTCTCTACTCCTCTATCTTTGTCCTCAGCCTACTTCAACTGCTGTAAACTAAGTTCAAAGCTTTGTGCTCAGTTAACACAACAGGGAGGAGAAAAGATGAGAACAGAGGAAAGCAAGGCATCTTTCCCCACGAACCCACACACTCTGGGGAGGCTCTTCTCTTGCTTCCACCTCCGTCTCAGGCATGGCTGATGGGACGAGAGAAAGGGCCTTCTCAGTCATGGCCCCCTGGCTCTGGAACTCCCTCCCCAAGGAGATCAGACTAGCACCCTCCCTGTCCTTCTTCCACAAGGACTTAAAGACGTGGATGTTCCATTGTGCTTTTGGCTAGGCAATTCCTTAGACAGCTGGCCCCAGTTAGTGCACCCCCCAGAAAAAAAATTGTCCTCAAGTACTTTACAATTGTTATATCCAAATCCTTAATGGTAAATCGTTCTTATCCTCATTGCTGCTATAGATATTTACACTTCACACATTAGCTCTATCCTCTAATGTTGGAGCACCAGTCTGCCCACCCACAATGAGACATTGAATTTTGCTATTGGTTGTTAGTTTTGATGTATGTTTTATATACTGTTGCACTGTGTGGTGGAGGCTTTTAAACAGAGGCTGGATGGCCATCTGTCGGGGGTGCTTTGAATGCGATTGTCCTGCTTCTTGGCAGAATGGGGTTGGACTGGATGACCCACAAGGTTTCTTCCAACTCTATGATTTTATGATTGACCCTGTCATCTGGAAGGGTACTCCTGGCTCAGATGAAGAAGATATTTGTACATGTCTCCAGGGATGGGAGGAGAAATTAATAATTGGATTTAGGCTATATAATTGTTCATATAGAGCCCTGAACACTTTCTGTCTCTCTCCATTTGACTGCAGAGTTCATGCAACAGTGTATCTTCCAAAGGTGTAAGAAGCTTCCATTTTCAAATACAGTTTCTTGATCAATTAAACCAACCACTGCAACTTCACTACATCTTAGTAAGTGTTACAAAGTACTAGGTCTTCTATAATAATAATAATGCCTTTATTCTTATACCCCGCCACCATTTCCCTGAAGGGACTCGGAGCGGCTTACATATGTAACAAAATGCCCACAGATACAAATATGAAACAGTCCATCCAAGCAAAAATAAAATAAAAACATAGTTAATTATAACAATCCAGAAAAAAATAGTTGGACTGTATAAAACCATAAATATAATTTAAAATATTAAATTAACAAACAACCAAAAGAAAAAAACTCACCAGGAATCTTTTTGGCCCAGCCGATCATGTGGACGAGTTCTTTGTCCGCCAGCTTTGTCAAGGACATCATCATGGAGGCTTCTGTGAATGGCTTGTTGGGGCGGCTCACCAACACGTTGGGAGGTTCAGCTTCAAGTAATATGGACACAAACTGTTCTGGGCTCAAGGTGTTGACAAGGACCTCTTTCATTTGGATGATGGTCTCGTTGGTCTTCTTGACTTTGCTGACGCAATGCAAGGGGTCTTCTGAGTTCCGATGGCGGCGAATGATCCGATACCCGCAGCGCTCTCTTCTGGAACCTGAAGTTTGTAAAGTTTCAGTGATACAGGACATTTTCATCATAGTATCTTCTTAACCCAATCCCATTTCTTTTGTGCCACGCATCTAATAATGGCCAAGATTCCACCTGAGAAGATGGCATGCAATGTTATACAAGTTGAGTCTACCTTATTAGAAATGCTTGGGACCAGAAGTGTTTTGGATTTTTGCATGAATCTGCTTGTATTTACATAATGAGGTATCTCAGAGATGGGACCCAAGTCTAAACATGTATGTTTCACATTCACCTCATTCCACATAACCTGTAATATTACACATGTGTGAGTGACAATGTGCCTTCAAGTTGCCTAATGACTTATTTGTTGAGAATTTCATAGAGGGTTTCTCAGGCAAGGAATACTCAGAGGCGGTTTTGCCAATTCCTTCCTCCAAAACATAGCCTTACGGCATTTGTTGGCAATCTCCCATCCAGTACTAACCAAGGGTGCATCTACACTGTGGAACTCATGCAGTTTTGATACCACTTTAACTGCTGTGGCATCATAGGAGTCGAAGTTTAGTGAGACACCAGCACTCTTTGGCAGAATGTGGCATTCTTGTAAAAATACACATCCAAAGATTCAATAGCACTGAGCATTGGCATGGTAACAAACTGCATTAATTCTACAGTGTTCCCCAAGATGACCCTGCTGAGTTTCCAAGATGTGGTTCCTGTAGCGTCTTTGGGTGCATTTCCATTTTCATCCAGCTCTAGATCTGAACGGTTTTCAGTGCCTTAATATCTGCAGTGCCAAATATTTACAGACTGGAAGAAAAAAATCATTAGTGGGCGAATTCTTATTTAGGAGGGGAATGTTATCGTTGAAAACCATTCAGAACTCTCCCAACATCCCTGGGTTGGAAAGGAAAATTGGAATCAAAGAACAATCCTTGTTTCAGCCCCATTCTCTGGTGACAGTGGCACCTGGAGTGCAAATCTGGATCAAAATTAAGTGTACGATGGGAGCTTTCTCCAAACTGGTGCCATTCCTGGGTGCATCTACACTGTAGAATTAATGCAGCTTGACACCACAACAGTATGGAATCAGTATGGAATCATGGGCTTTGTAATTTGCTGAGGCATCAGCACTCTTTGGCAGAGAAGGCTAAAGAATGTGCAAAAGATTCCATAGCACTGAGTCATGGCAGTTAAAAGGATGTAAGGGTAAAGTTAATGGTTTTCCCCTGACATTAAATCTGGTTGTGTCCGATTCTGGAGGTTGAAACTCGTCTCCATTTCTAAGCCAAAGAGCAGGCGTTGTCCGTAGACACCTCCAAGGTCATGTGGCCAGTGTGACTGTATGGAGCACTGTTACCTTCCCATAGAAGGTATTGATCTGCTCACACTTGCATGTTTTCGAATTGCTAGGTTGAGAGGAGCTGGGGCTAACAGTGGGAGCTCACCCTGCTCCCTGGATTTGAACCTGCGACCTTTCAGTCAGCAAGTTCAGTAGCTCAGCAGTTTAACCCACTGTGCCACAAAGTGGTGTATTTATTTGTCGTGTCATCCGCAACCAGAACGTTGTATTACATTTCTAACAGAACAAAACAAGCAAACAGATAAAAAAAGACACAAATTTTGCAAACTTGGTAGCTGATTAAATGTCCTTTGACCAGTATCTGGCCACTTGGAGTGCCTCTGGTGTTGCCGCAAGAAGGTCCTCCATCATGCATGTGGCAGGGCTCAGGTTGCATTGCAGCAGGTGGTCAGTGGTTTGCTCTTCTCCACACTCGCATGTCGTGGATTCAACTTTGTAGCCCCATTTCTTAAGATTGGCTCTGCATCTCGTGGTGCCAGAGCGCAGTCTGTTCAGCGCCTTCCAAGTCGCCCAGTCTTCTGTGTGCCCAGGGGGGAGTCTCTCATCTGGTATCACCCATGGATTGAGGTGCTGGGTTTGAGCCTGCCACTTTTGACTCTCGCTTGCTGAGGTGTTCCAGCGAGTGTCTCTGTAGATCTAAGAAAACTATTTCTTGATTTAAGTCGTTGACGTGCTGGCTGATACCCAAACAAGGGATGAGCTGGAGATGTCTCTGCCTTGGTCCTTTCACTATTGGCTGCAACTTCCCCACAGATGTCAGGTGGTGCAATACCGGCTAAGCAGTGTAATTTCTCCAGTGGTGTAAAATTGCATAAATTTAACAGTGTAGTTGTGTCCCGTTGTGTTGGACCACAATGCTAGCTGGGAAAAGTGGGAGTTGTTCCGCACACCTAAAGTTGTCTTTGCCTTCTCAAGTAAATTTTGATCACCATTTCAAATGTTGCCATCACTGAATAATGGATATATTCCCAGAAGGCTGCAGCCACTCATGGCGGAGGATTAACTGCCAATAGTTTTTCACACGCTCAGTCCATCTATATTTGCGGATGCCACAAGGGTTGATATTCTTGGCATTTAAAGCTATCCATAATGGCAAGTGAGTCTTTTTAAAAGGCTCCAACTTGTCAATCTTTCCTTTTCCCACTCAAGGGCGATTACTCATTTGCAAAGTATGGTACGGCGCTTGTTGCCAGAAAATCAAAAGCTGATCTGGTGGTGGACACCCAAGTAATATTTCTTGGCACCCTCATTTTGCTCAGCAGGGGTTTCCTTCTGAGACATTTCTTCTGATTTCAAAGGCATTGCATGCCAACCCCACTCCACATCCTTCCCTCTTGGATGGCACCCTTAAACCAGCTCCAAGTGAAATCCAATAGGAATCCGGTTTAAGAGAAACCCTACTTATTTCCTACGGATTGAGCCATGGAGTTAAAGCATTTTTATCTTCAGGGAGGAGCCCAAGGTGGCACAATGGATTAAACCCTTGTGCCAGTAGGACTGCTGACCGACAGGTGAGCGGTTCAAATCCTGGGATCATAGAATCATAGAATCAAAGAGTTGGAAGAGACCTCATGGGCCATCCAGTCCAACCCCCTGCCAAGAAGCAGGAATATTGCATTCAAATCACCCCTGACAAATGGCCATCCAGCCTCTGTTTAAAAGCCTCCAAAGAAGGAGCCTCCACCACACTCTGGGGCAGAGAGTTCCACTGCTGAACGGCTCTCACAGTCAGGAAGTTCTTCCTCGTGTTCAGATGGAATTTCCTCTCCTATAGCTTGGAGAGAGGGTTGAGCTCCCTCTGTCAGCTCTAACTCCCCATGCGGGATGTAAGAGAAGCCTCCCACAAGGATGGCAAAACATCAAACATCCGGATGTCCCCTGGGCAACGTCATTGCAGACAGCCAATTATCTCACACCAGAAGCGACTTGCAGTTTCTCAAGTTGCTCCTGACACACACACAAAAAAATCTTCAGGGAGATATCCAAGCATCAGAATATAAATAAACAATTTGCTTCAAAGCACCAAAGAACAATCTCTATTTATTTATTTCCTTATTTCTATCCCATCCTGTATCAAAAGATCCCAGGGTGTCATCCATTAAAATCAATAAGTCCTAAAATAAGTTTGGAGTTTTTATTCCAATTCATTGCCTCATGGTGAGAAAAGAGGAGAACTGGCAGTTATAGAAAGCCACAAACAATTCATTATGGAACCAGCAACTAACATTACACTTACATGTTTCAATAATTGATCACTGCAAAACACTGTTGGAAATATCCACATAAGTCTGTTAGGATGAATCACTTCATTATTCCTTTCATTTCATATTCATTTACTCATCTCTAAGTGCAACTATTCTATTCTGGAATATAATGCTTTGTCAAGATAAAAGAACTATGCATTTTAATGTATTGTTGAAGGCTTTCATGACCAGAATCACTGTGTGTTTTCCGGCCTGTATGGCTTTGTTCCTGAAGCATTCTCTCCTGATGTTTCACCTGCATCTATAGCAACTATCCTCAGAGATTTTGAGGTCTGTTGGAAACTAGGAAACTGGAGTTTATATATCTGTGGAATGCCCAGGGTGGGAGAAAGAACTCTTGTCTGTTTGAGGTAGGTGTGAATGTAGCAATTGGCCACCTTGATAGGCATTTAATGGCTTAACAGTTTTCAAGGTCTGGATTCTTACTGCCTGGGGGAATCCTTTGGGGGTAGTTGGTCCTAATTGTTTCTTGCCTTGAATTCACCTGCTTTAGAGTGTTGTTCTTTATGTACTGTTATGATTTTAGAGTTTTTTTTAATACTGATAGCCAGATTTTGTTCATTTCCATGGTTTCTTCCTTTCTGTTGAAATTGTCCACATGCCTGTAGATTTCAATAGCTTCTCTGTGTGGTCTGACATGGTAGTTGTTGGACAACTATCATATATTATATCCCACACAGGCATGTAGCCGGGGGGGGGGGGGCTGAGGGGCTTCACCCCCCCCCCCCAATTCTCATGGTGGTCGCGAGAAGGCCTTACTGGAGCATTATTTAAACTGTTATGTTTATTCATATCATGATCTGATCACCATACTCTAATATATCCCATATGCAGGGGTATTGGGGTAATGATACAAAAGGTTTGCTAGGCTAGACCCTCTTCACTCAGACTCACCACCCCCCCCCCGAAACTCAGCCCCCTCCCCCGAACCCCCCCCTGAAAAAAATTTTTTATCCCCCCCCCCCCCCGAAACGAAATCCTGGCTACGGGCCTGGCACTTTCCTAGTTTCCAACAGATCTCACAACCTCTGAGGATGCCTGCGATAGATGCAGACAAAACATCAGGACTGAATGCTTCTGGAACATGGCCATAGAGTCTGGAAAACACACAACAACCCTATGCATTTTAAATTAATATGTCTCATTTCCATTTGTTTTTTTTCTTCCTCAAATAAAGCCTTTTGTTCTATTGCTGGATGTTTTCAAGTGACTTCCAACTTGAGACAATGCTAAAGTGAATCTAAGATGGGGTTTTCTTGACATGATTTGTTTGGGAAGAAAAGTTTGCCTTCTTTGCCTTCCTATGAGACCAAGGCTTGATCTACCCTGCCATATAATCCAGTTCTAAGCAGAAAATCTGAATTCAGAAACTGGATTATATGGCAGTGTATACGGAACCTCAGAGAGTGTGACCTCTGCGAGGTCACCCTGGAAGTTTTCATAGCCAAGTAGGGATTTGAACCCATTTCTGAAGAGTTGTAGTCCAATGCTCAAACCTGGTTCTCTCAGTGAATCCTAACCATTATGAAAAAACGTATCTGTCCAATAAGCAGTGCTCGTCAACACTTGTAATTCTCCTCCACTTTTGAAGCCTTATTGATCCTGTATTAACGTTGCCATTATTTCAATCAATGCTCTACGTACTTGCTGTAATTGTCTTTCTCATCAACACAACCTAGAAAATCAGAAGCACAAATTGAACTGTTCTGAGTTGGGACTTCATCCCACAAAAGGGGGGGAGGGGGTAGAATCGTCTTCTTTGTGTAGCATTTCATGGAGTTTAGAAAAGACAGAGAACTTACTCACTCCCATCACACAGGATCACCTCCTCCCCTTTCTAACTTAAGCATTTCAAGGATACCAGTACATTTTTAAAAACAGGTTAACCTCTGAGGAAAGTACCTTACATTAGATTTTCCTCCTTAAGCCCGTACACTAAAGGAGGCAGGCATCCTTTCCTTTTTGAAACACTTCTTTCAATGGGATCCACACCATCTTTGAACCACTACTGGAAACAGAAGGAGCACCAGTAGATCACCCACATAAATGCCCATGTTGAAATGTTACAAAGCAGTTGGACAAATCCACCACTTCCCATCACAAGGAAAAATGCCCATTTTCAAGCATTTCTATGAAAAGGGAATCAAATCGTAGAATCATAGAATCACAGAGTTGGAAGAGACCTCATGGGTCATCCAGTCCAACCCCATTCTGCCAAGAAGCAGGAAAATTGCATTCAAAGTACCCCCGACAGATGGCCATCCAGCCTCTGTTTGAAAGCCTCCAACGAAGGAGCCTCCACCACACTCCGGGGCAGAGAGTTCCACTGCTGAACAGTTCTCACAGTGAGGAAGTTCTTCCTCATGCTCGGATGGAATCTTCTTTCTTGTAGTTTGAAGCCATTGTTCCATGTCCTGGTCTCCAGGGCAGCAGAAAACAAGCCTGCTCCCTCCTCCCTGTGACTTCCTCTCATAGGAAGTCATAAAGAGTGCAACTGATTTCTGTGCCTCTTGGAAATCCTCCCATTTCTACACGTTGTGGAGACGAAGTCCCAGAAGCAACTACTGGAAGCAGTCCTGCGTCATTTGATGGGCTCAATGGGAATCCATCTTTAAAGTGTGTAGGAACAGGCCAAAATAGAGGAAAACTGCCATATGATGAGGTCCTTGGTCTTTTATCTCAACACTCTCTAGTCCAGGCATGGGTAAACTTCGGCACTCCAGGTGTTTTGGACTTCAACTCCCACAATTCATAACAGCTGGTAGGCTGTTAGAAATTGTGGGAGTTGAAGCCCAAAACACCTAGAGGGCCAAAGTTTGCCCATGCCTGCTCTAGTCTAACTATTTCTCTAAAGTCCCAAGCATAATTGGAGTATGTTTAAATTACATTTTGGCAAAGATCATTCGGCTGCACAATGATACCTTGCCAGCAAATTTGTGACACTGTGCAATTAAATCCACAACCAAGTGTAGAATGAACGTAGTTTGACACCACTTTTTGCACATCCATCCATAGATTCCCTGTGTCCTGCACAGTACATTTCTCCTCACCTGGTGTGATCTAATGTTTGGGCAACCTCTATGGACCGAAACCTGGCCCCTCCACAATGCTTTGGTGCACCAACTCATCGTCACCAATTTTCCTTTGACAGCAGTGAAAAGATAATTCCAACCAATATGTTGGTGATTTGCGACTATTAAACCTTGAAAAGAATACTGTGCATTAGGTCCGTTTAAAGCTTCAATGGAGGTAATCACCGATCCGTATTTACCTGTCCTTGAATCTAAAATTACAGATATCATTTCCCACTTTAAATGTTTGATGGTTGCTTTCTAGATTATTATAATGTTTTTCTTATTACTGTATTGTTAAATGCTCACCATTCTCCCAAATGACAGGTTTCAAGGGCAGCTTTACAAAGAATAGCTTCCTTCCAATGAGCAACTCGCCTTTGAAATATTTGTTTTATTTATATGTATACAAGCAGAATAGAGCGAAAGCAAATTGGTCTCTGATTCACTAGGAGAATTTAGACATTGTGGATTTAGTTGTGGATGTATACAGATTATATATTTTACATAAATACTTAAACTACCGGTTGCACATCCCTTATCCAGAATTCTGAAATTCAAAATACAACACAATCCAAAACTGTCTCAATGGAAGGATGAGATAGTGAAATCTTTCTTCTTTTTAAGTTTTTTTTAACATTTTTATTTACCTGACACACATATCTCAGGTAAATAAAGCTTGTACCTTTGGAAACAATTATGAGAGATGATCCAGAAAATATTGAAATAGGAAATACTCGTTACTCCAGAACATTTTCTATTAGGAATACTGGACAACCAAATAAACATTAGCACAAAAAAATCATATTATATATGACACCTTTGCTTTCTAGTGGTTTAATGTAAACAAATGTTTTTTCATGGACAACATTATTACAAATAGTGTAAATATGATAACAGTTGTCTTCTGCATTCATAGATTCAACTATCATTGACTTGAAAATATTTTCCCCCACCTGCAAACAAAACTTGATGTTGCCAGTTTACAGAAGAGACATCTTTTGTCTATGTGATTGTACTAAATGGGATTTGAGCATCAATGGGCTTTGATATATAAAGGGAGTCCTGGAGCCAAACCTCAGCAGATACTGAGGGCTCACAGTACTTTCAGCCCTAGTGTATGAAGTGTATATGAAACATAAATGAATTTCATGTTTAGACTTAGGACCAAGATATCTCATTATGCAAGTCTATTTAAAAACAAGTATCCAAAATCTGGAAAAAATATTGTAATCTAAGATTCGTGTAGGGATCCTAGAAAAATCCTAGATTGGACACATTTTGTCAGATGCAAGGAGGGGAAATGGGGGCACCAATTCTATCAGTATGAGGGTCATACTGTATTAATATTTGCATATATTGCCAAGTCAGGAGCATTCCTGGGATTGAGATTTCATAGGCAAAAGCTAAGATCTACTGAGGTCTGAATAACCAAGGTACAATCGTTCCCGAGCTGAGAAACATCAGAAATAGTCTCACTGAACTAGAAGAATGGGAAGCTACAGTAACATTAATGTTCCATGTAAGTGTGTTTTTGTGTGCCTTGTATGTGCCTTCAAGTTGCCACTTGACTTATGGTGTAGGGTTTTCTCAGGAAATAGAATACTCTGAGGTTGTTTTGGCAGTTCCTTCCTCTGAAATATGAACTACAGCATCTGGTATTTGCTGATGGTCTCCCATTCAATAATAATAATAATAATAATAATAATAATAATAATAATAATAATAAAACTTTCTTCATACCCCACCTTTCTCCCCATGTGGACTAAAGGCAGCTAACAATCCCACACTTTGCTCATTGTGCTGGCATGATTGTGCCAGGAGATTTGATTCTTTTTCTTGCACTGTTAGTTTGCATGAATCTATTCAAGCTACGCTTTTTTGCAATCAGGTGGCTTCCCCAGTTTGCAATCATAGGGCCAACAACCTATCAATCATAGTTAGAGCCTTTACACCTGCCCCTTTCCCCAGGTTTGGAGGGGAAAGGGGACTTTTCAGTCTCACAGTTTGGAGCCTAACAGACAGGACGTGTGGGCTTCTCTCTCCAACCTGCAAAAAAGCTTCATTTCTCACAGCTTTGCTGGGGGAAAAAGAAATACAGCCAGCTTTGCTGAGAATTACAGCCAGCTTTGCTAGGCAAAGGGAATGGTTCCACAACCTTTGTGGAAAATCTAAAGGACACCAGCTTGGCCTATCTACAAAAAACCTTATCTGGTAAGGGACACTCGGGCTATCCATAAAGCCGATTGGAGCCAGGAGTAGGGGCCTCACACCAGAAAGGTAAAGGAAGATTGCCCAAGGAGGGGTCAGAAGGTTTCCCCAAGAAAGAAAGGAACAGTTTATCAAGCAGTTGCCTGTCCCTTGCAGGCAGATCGAGGAAGCTACTAGTTTTCAAGATTATAAAGCATTTAATTCATTTGTTCGAAGATTTAAGCCTTAATAAAGAACTTTGTTGAACCTATTTTGAGCCTCTACAGAACTTTGTGTTGGGAAACCTAAGGGACCCTTTAGCTGAGGCACCCCGGTGTCCCGTTGGGCATACAGAAAGCACATCCTGTAAACAGACATTGTCATAGGCCCAGCGTGCAACAGCACACTCATTGTTTAATTTTTTTTAAAAAAACTAAATAATATAGTGTGGATTAAGGTAAAAACCAGATTAAGACATAATAAATAAGCTCAGTCTGTCTGTGTGTCCTCCTCAGAATCCCACCCACACTTCCCCAGTAGCATGCCTTATCCTCCCCCAAATATCTGCTAGCAAAGGAAGGTCTTGACTTGCTTGATATTTAAGCCCACAACATTCCATAAGTATTCTTAAATCATCTCTCCAACTTTATCAGTCATTCTGCACAGTTATACTTTTCCAATTAATTATTGCTTTTAACCCATGAGAAATTCCTCTACATGGCCTCCTCAACCAAAAGACAAATGATGGAGAGGGACATACAAAGGGGCACCTGTTCTGGACAGAAAGAGATAAAGCAACGATGAAAATGCATAGAATGATACCCCACTCAATTTCCCCTCAAGGCAGTTTCGAAAGCCATGAAGAAGAAACTTAAATTATTGTCGGTGGATCTACTCTACCATTATCAGAAATAAAAGTGAAACACAAGTGACAGAAATTTTGCAAGCAAAAATGGGCCACAAAGGCATAAACTCACCACATTTCATCATTCCCACTTCGTAACATTTCCGGAGTCGACAGGCCTGGCAACTTTTACGCCGGTTTTTATCTATTGTACACTGGTTTGTTGCTGGACAGATATAGTCATTGTGTCCTGCAGAGAAGTTACAAAATAATGGATTATGTTTGTCTCTATCGATCTATCATCTGTCTATGAATTGCTGAATATGATGATTTATAATGTGGAAAGCAATTCCTGGCTGTGGCCGTGATGCTTGTAAGATTACCAAATTTTAGGGCCGGGCTGTCAGCTTCCAGTATTCATGGATCATCCCTAGACAGGAATTGAGGTGCAGAACCTCCTGTTTTAATGGACTGAATTCCAGGGCAAAGGATAGGACTGTCTGTGTCTACAAGTCACCATCTCAGCTAAGAGAACTGCAGTTTTCTACAGTTTGGAGGCTAAATTGTTTTGTTTCTTCAACTTGCAAAACCAAGTGATAAGAAGCAAGGAGATCTATGTATATACTTAGTTAACTTCCACCTTCTTTCCAAGTTGTTGTGCCAGGACTCTCCCTCCATAGTTTTAGATTCTTTATTAGCACTTTACAATTCTGAGATTGAATACTGCTGTTTTAGCTACAGCCATTGCTGTATTTTATTGATTTTACCAGGAGGTACTGGAAATTTATGATGTTGTGTTGACTGTTTATTGTTTTTTTTTTTTGCACTTGTTGTATTTTGTATGTCACACCTTGAGTGTTTTGTGAGCTGCCCAAGTCCCTTGGGGAGATGGTGACGGGATAGAAATAAATTATTATTATTATTATTATTATTATTATTATTATTATTATTATTATTATTATTACACTCTGTATCCACCTGAAAACAAGCAGACTAGATTAAATGTTCCTTACTTTCACTTATCTCCCCAATTATACCCTTATTTCACCTTAATTTGGAAATAGATCTTTCAACTCAAGATTTCTTGTCCTAATTTTCAAACATATTCAGAGATCAAAGAAAGAGGAAAGGTGTGAATGACAAGAAGTGAGCTACTATTCTCTGTCCTTAATCCATAACATTTAATGACACCAACATGGGCCATTCCTAGGACCCAAAACTTCAGGGCCTGGGACCATCTTGAGCTGCCAACCCTACTTGCCTATTGTTGACCATCATTGTTGCCACGTCAAATGCAGCCTTTTACCAGTGAAATTGGCTTGCCAGTGTGGTTGCACTGAACACAGTCTGTGCAGTCTGGAATAGACCATGTGTCCTTGATTTGACAGACAATATCTCAGTGACACAGATCATACACAAATCCAGAAAGGTCACCCAGCTGCCTTGCAAAACAACCCCATGCTTCCTTTCACCTTCATGATCAAGGCAACAGGATGTTTATTCGTCATGAAAGATGCATTAAAGTTTCCTAACTCCTATTTTATCAGTGATGAGGTTTGAGCCCAAAAGGTTAGAGCAAGGGAACGATGAGAAGCCATGTAGTTGAGGCAGAGGTGGGACTCCTCAGGAAGGCACTGTGCTCAATGCATCTTGATACAGGTTAAACATTCCTTATAAAAATATAAAATGTGCATATAGGTGGCTAAGAGAATGACAATTTTGCTTTCTGATGGTTTAATGACCACAAACCTTTCTTTACACACAGCGTTATTAAACTTATTGTGCATAAAATTTTCTTCAAGTAGTGCTTAGGTGTGCTTAAGCACAGTGTCCCCTTGGCTAGGTGGGCCCATTTTCCTGCCCAAAAATAATTTTGCAATGGATTTTGCTTATGTAGTGCAATTCTAAATTTGAAGGCTTTCTGTTTTGGAGTGACTCCAGACATAATGATAGAGTTGATAGTCTATGGGAGTATACCTCAAAGCAGGCAGTGCATGTCTACCAGGCCTATCTTCTTCAGAGCCCAAGTAAGGGGCCTCATAACTTAACTAGCACAGGGCTTCATTTGTCCTAAATCTGTCACTATATATATAAGAAATATAACTGGATTGCATGGTTAGATTTAGATCCTATTGCCAAGGTATCTCAATATGTATCTCAATATGTATTCCCCGTAGTAACCTATGGATGTGAGAGCTGGACCATAAGGAAGGCTGAGTGAAGGAAGATAGACGCTTTTCATGCTGGAGGAACATTCTGAGAGTGCCTTGGACCACAAAGAAATCCAACCAGTCCATAATTCAACAAATAAAGCCCGACTGCTCATTGGAGGAAAGGATATTAGAGGCCAAGATGAAGTACTTTGGCCACATCATGAGAAGACAGGAAAGCTTGGAGAAGACAATGATGCTGAGGAAAATGGAAGGGAAAAGGAAGAAGGGTTGACCAAGGGAAAGATAGATGGATGGTATCTTTGAAGTGACTAGCTTGACTCTGAAGGAGCTTGGGGTGGCCACAGCCGATAGGGAGCTCTGGCATGGGCTGGTCCATGAGGCCACGAAGAGTTGGAAGCCACTGAACGAATAAACAACAACAACATACAAATACATGTATTCCAAAATTGGGGAGGGGGTTAGAATCCAAAATGCCTCTGGTCCCACTTCAGATAAGGGATATGCAATCTGTACTTATATTTGGGGAGACTAGGGAAGATCAAATACCTATTCTATAGAAACTTGGGTTTGGCAGTTTGGTGAGATACTAGATCAGGCATGGGCAAACTTCGGCCCTTCAGGTGTTTTGGACTTCAACTCTCACAATTCTTAACAGCGTACTGGCTGGGAGTTAAAGTCCAAAACACCTGGAGGGCTGAAGTTTGCACTACAACTTTCTGGTTGAGAATTCTAAGCACTAAACTACCAGTCCAGGTTCCACACTTCACTTGTGCAGTGAGAATGACTCCCTAGTAGAGGTGTGCATAGTACCCGTTTCTCCTTTTTCATTCATTCCTTTTGTTTTAAGGGGGAACACAAACCAGGAACCCCTCCACCAGAACGAAAATAACCTCAGAACAAAAGAAAGTGGAAACAGATAGTATTTCCTTGCCTGCCTTTTGGCCTAAGTGGCCTGCAGAAAATTGTTATTTCCCCCTGAGTCCTGCCTGTGGGACCAATCAGAGTAGAAGAACACTGTCTACCTCACCTGCTGAGGGGAAAGCATCAAAGGAGGATTTTAAGTCCGGTCTTTAAACCCAGTTCTCTTCTGCAGATGAAGGGGAAAGCATAACAGAAATAGTGGTATCTTAAGCCCTGTCTTTAAACCTGTAGACCAAGGGGAAAGCATCACAGAAGGAGTGGTATTTTAAATAACTCTGATGCTTTTAATTCAGGTTGTAATGAAGGATATGAGGACAAACCATGCCATTGCCAAAAATGATGGGAAGGGGAGGTGAAATCTGCCCCCCCCCAATGTCACCAGTTAAAGAAGAAGTGAAATAGGGGGGCAGGGCACTGGGTGTGTGTGGTTTGTGGAGCATCTTTGACATTTGGCAAGAAGGAATTGTGCTCTGCCCTGCCTCCCTCCTGCTGTTGCTCCTGGAGAAGTTGAAGGGCCGGGCCAGCAGGGGAAAGAAGGAATGTTTTTAAGGAGATTTTATTTATAGAAAGAAAAAAAATCCCTAAAAATTGGGGGACAACCCAAACGTTATAAAACTTGGTGGGCTAAGAGTGGTAAACGTGCTCTCCACATGTGGTGATTTTCACCTCTCTAGCCCTAAAACTGAGGGGAAGGGAGGCCTGGGGAAGCCTGCCCATTGTGGCCAATGGGTTAAAAACTTTTGTATTTTTGGACACAGAACAAGAACTCCCATTCAGAAAGGCACCCATTTTTGGAGGCTCAAAAACGAAAACAGGGGGCCTTACGAATGAAACAAACAGAAACAGATAGCGATTCTATACAAATGCACAAGTCTACTCCCTAGCCTTCTGTTAAATCAGACAACTCTCACTGCTGCTAGGTTTTTCACAGTCACTGATTTTATCATACTTTCTGATATTTTATCTACAGTACTGCTGTATGATCTAGTATGGGAAGAAATCCATGAGATATCGCTTTGGGTGATACCAAGTCTTGGCACTGCATAGAGGAGACCAATGAGAAGAGTGTGGAGCAGACAAAACAAAGCAGTAATTGAATTCAGGTAGGAGTGTTTCCCACATTTCACTTCTCCCGGATTGTCAGGTGAAATACAGGTGAAGGTTTCTGTATGTTTAACAGTTGTGTAGAACCCTAGGGTTCCACAACAGCCTCACAGGGGTTCCGTCAAAAAAAATTAATCACTTTTTTAAAATACCTGTTCCAGATTAGGAAGATTTTATTGAAATACATTGTACCTTGGCTCTAAAAATGAAATTTCAATCTCTTTATTTCCAAACCTACTACATTATACAAAACACCGAGACAACAGGAGTAGATGAAAGAAGGAAGAACTTGGTGGGTACATAATGCTTAGTGACAGAGTTTTGGTTCTGTGGGGAAACAAAAATCTTCTGAAAGGTTGCATGAGCAAAAAAGTTTGGGAACCACTGGAGCAGAAGATATTTCTTCACAAATCCCCTATCCAAAAAGGGAACTCTCTTGTACATTTCAGAGGCAGCGAAGATGAATGGGCTCCAACTACACATGTAGGAATAGTGTGATTTCTCCCAGTATTTCACTCTTAAAGATGTTCTAGGAAGTTCGCCTCTGAAAAATATAAAATGAGGGATCAAGCCGTACTGGCAATTAAAAAAACAGTTGAAAATATGAAAAAAGGCTGTTTGATATAACCAGAAAATCATTTTTTGAAGAATGACTGAGTAATTTTATTTGAAAAGCCATGGTGTGCCCAGAACAGATGTGGACTCAGTTCCTGGAAATGAAGGCTGATTGTTATCAAAGGTGCCCTGGAACAAAAAAGATAAAAAATGTTGTCCTGCTAGGTCTCTTCATATGTCATGGCCTTCAGAAGGTTATCATGTTCTGTTCTAAAGTGCAGGTGACCAAAGCATATGTCAGGTAAACATTATGCTTTTCTTTATAACCTCAGCTTCCTATACCTAGATTTTTATAAAACTGTATTCATCTGAAGTGGTTATGTTCTCACTGAAGGAAAAGAAATTTGCTTCTGAGCAAACACAGGATAAATTTGGAACATACTGTTGAGTTCAGGTTACAATCTTCTGTGCCCATACTTCAGTGAAAGCCTACCAAACTCAACAGGTATCTAAAATTGGATGGTGAGAGCATTTTAATTGAAAACAAGAAGTCTAGTTTTAAAATGTTGATTAATCAACCCATCACAGAATAGATTTAATGCTGCATTTGTTGTTTTTTCCGATAGGTGAGAGTCGTTCAGCAGTGGAACTCTCTGCGCCGGAGTGTGGTGGAGGCTCCTTCTTTGGAAGCTTTTAAACAGAGGCTGGATGGCCATTTGTCAGGGATGATTTGAATGCAATATTCCTGCTTTTTGGCAGGGGGTTGGACTGGATGGCCCATGAGGTCTCTTCCAACTCTTTGATTCTATGATTCTAGGTGTCTCCTATCTTAAGTAACTCAACTTCATATACAGTGGTGGCTGGTGAAACCCAAGCACAAAGATTTTAAAGGAAACTATTCAAAGTATTGGAACCTATCCTTAAAATAAGTTACAGTTCAGACTAAAACACAGAATGGATTCACTTCCTCACTCAGAATCACAGAACTGGAAAAGACCACAAGGGTCATCCAGTCTAATGCAGGCCATGCATGAATACACAGTAAAAGCACTCCTGACAGATGGCCATCTGTTCTTGTTGTTTATTCGTTCAGTTGCTTCCGACTCTTCATGACATCATGGAACAGCCCACGCCAAAGCTCCCTGTCGGCCGTGGCCACCCCCAGTTCCTTCAAGGTCAAGCCAGTCACTTCAAGGATCCCATCCATCCATCTTGCCCTTGGTTGGCCCCTCTTCTTTTTTCCTTCCATTTTCCCCAGCATCATTGTCTTCTCCAAGCTTTCCTGTCTTCTCATTATGTGGCCAGAGTACTTCATCTTTGCCTCTAATATCATTTCCTCCACTGAGCAGTTGGGCATTATTTCCTGGCGTATGGACTGGTTGGATCTTCCAAGGCACTCTCAGAATTTTCCTCCAACACTACAGTTCAAAAGCATCTCTCTTCCTTCGCTCAGCCTTCTTATGGTCCAGCTCTCGCATCCATAGGTTACTATGGGGAATACCATTGCTTTAACTATGCGGATCTTCGTTGCTAGTGTGATGTCTCTACTCTTCACTATTTTATCAAGATTGGTCATTGCTCTCCTCTCAAGAAGTAAACATCTTCTGATTTCCTGGCTACAGTCTGTGTCTGCAGTAATCTTCACACCTAGAAATACAAAGTCTGTCACTGCCTCCATGTTTTCTCCCTCTATTTACCAGTCTGATTGCTATATTCTTGGGAATTTTGATGTTTAACTGCAACCCAGCTTTTGCACTTTCTCCTTTCACCTTGGTTAGAAGAAGGCTCCTCAGCTCCTCCTCGCTTTCAGTCTATTCTGGACTTTGTTTAAAACTTCCAGATAAGCAAAGTTCACTATGTTCTACGGCAGCAGCAGCATATTCCACTGTTAAACAGCCCTTGCAAACTAGATTTTTTCCCTAAAGATGATGTGGAATCTCTTTTCCTGTAGTTTGAATCTGTTGTTCAGTGTCCTAGTCTCTGGAATAGCAGCTCAATATAATATGTTTCAAATATTAAAAGATGGCTATCATGTCCGATCTTAATTGTTTCTTTTCTAGTCTAAACATAAGCAGCCACCCCTCATAGGGATTCATAGTTTCCAAACTTTTTGCCACTTTGGTCACAATTCTCTGGAAATGTTCCAGCCCCTCAATATCCTTCTTATTCAGTGGTGCCCAGAACTAGACACAGGATTTTTCCAGGTAAGATCTAGCCAACTATTCACTTCCCTTGATCTAGACCAAGCCTGCACAACATGAAGCCCTCCAGATGTTTGGGCCTCCAACTCCCAGAAGCCCTAGCCCACTAGTCAATGGTAAGGAATTCTGGGAGCTGAAGTCCCAAACACCAGGTTGTGCAGACCTTATGTAAAGACCTTGGTGGTGCAATGGGTAAACACCTTATGCCGGCAGAACTGCTGACCTGAAGGTCAGAGGTTCGAATCCGGGAAGTGGGGTGAGCTCCCATCTGTCAGCTCGAACTTCTCATGCGGGGGCATGAGAAAAGCCTTCCACAGGATGGTAAAACATCCAGGTGTCCCCTGGGTAATGTCCTTGCAGATGGCCAATTCTCTCATATCAGAAGCAACTTACAGTTTCTCAAGTTGCTCCTGACATGGAAGAAAACCCTGTGCATTTCATTTTCTCTGCCTAAGTTTAAGTATTGTACATTTCTCCTGTTTTAATTCATTGGGCTAGTTTTGGCCCAGGTCTCTAATCTTTTAAGGTCATTTTTTAAAATTTTGATCCTGTCCTTTGGGGTATTAGCTTTGCCTTCCAATTTGGTATCATCTAATAAACACAAATGGGCTCTGTCAACCACAAGTGTATATTTTTCCCCAAAATATGTTTTCAGGTCCCAGTGAAACCCTTCTCTGAACAAAACCATTTCTCCTACCTTGAATGCTCCTTTTGAAGAATGCTTTGCAGCCTTCGCATGACCAGACCCCATAGTGATATCCTGAAGCATAGTCGCTACACACAGCACAGAAGTGGGCATCCCTTTTGGAACCGGGGCTGTTTGTGGTGGGACTGGTGCAATCGCTGCCGCTGGCCTTCCGCTTCAGCACCTCTCTGGAGGCAGAGAGGAGGAGAGAAGTTGCGTAACAAACAAAAGAAGCAAAATATCTTTTCTGATCTGAAACCTTGCCCTTATTTTATTTTCATCACCAGCCTGATTTCTTTATTGCAGAAAGAAGATTGAGGCCATGTTACAGCCAAACAAAAAGAATGCTGCGGCATTTTGGAAATTGCCAGATTTATTGCGGAAGAAGGTTTCTGTACCCACAGCCCCATTTTCACCAATTTAATAGTGAGGTCCTCAAAGGTTGAACCATGAGAGATGAAATGAAATTTGATGTGCAACTGGCCTTTTGTCTCCACAGATTCTGCAAGAATGGATACAATCATCCATGGCTTGGAAATACATTTTAAAAAAATATTCAAAAAGCTGATCTTGATTTTGTGATTTTATGTAAGAGAAACCATTTTAGTATACCATTGTATCTGGAGTGATTTGATCATCCGTGGATTTTGGTATCCATGGGGTTCCTGGAACTACACCTCGGTGGATACCAACTGCCAACAGTTGTGGCATTATCAACTTCCATTCCTCACAAACATACCCATACTACCCTGATCAGACAGAGACGGTTATGATTCCTCCTCTACTATACCACTTTTTCATCTGCTTTTAAAATCTCACCTTTTCCCCCTCTTCTACTTTTTCCTTTTTCTCCTCAGATTACTTCAATTGCTATAATGTGTAAAAGTAGTTTGTATTCACATAACCCATCAAGGGAGAGGACTCTTCCCAGTGGAATCAAGAAAAAGCAAAGTGCTGCAGCATCTTCTAGCTTTTTTCACCCTTAATTGCCTACTTCTGATATAGAATCCTAGAAACCTAGAGTTGGAAGAGACTTCCAAGGGCCATCCAGTTGAACCCCCTGCCATGCAGGAAGGCACAACCAAAGCACTCCTGATAGACAGCCTCCGCAGAAAAGCCTCCAGAGAAGGAGACTCTACCAGGAGTGCTTTGGTTGTGCCTTCCTGCATGGCAGGCAGCCTATGCCACTCTCCAGGAAGTTCTTCCTAATCTTTCCAGTTGACTCTCTTTCCCTATTATTTGAAACCATTGCTCCTTTGTGCCCAGGTCTCTAGAGCAGCAGAAAGTCAGTCCCCCCCCCCCTCCTCAATGGGACACCCTTTGAAATCTTGAAACTTGATTCTCATGTTCCCTCTCTACCTTCTCTTCTCCCAGCTAAACATCCCCCAGGAAGAGGAAAGGAGGAAGGAAAAAGAGAAGGGAGAAAGGGAAAAGATAAGGATGGAAGGAAGGAAGGGGGAAGAGAATGGAGGGAGGAAAGAGAGAAGGAAGGACAAAGGGAATGGAGGGAGGGAAGGTAGGGAGGAAAGGCAGAAGGAAGGATGAAAAGGTGGAAGGGAAGGGAAGGAAGAAGGGAGGAAGAAAGACGAAGGTAAGGGAGGGAGGGAGAGAAGGAGGAAGGAAAGAGGGAAGGAAGGGATAGGATGGTGAGAGAGTGGAGGGCCTGAGAAAAGACCCCAAGGAACCACATCCGACCCCCGGGCCTAGGTTAGCCCATACCTGTGCTAAACCTTACTTGGAAATTAGTTCAGCACCATGGATAGGTCATGGTCTATCTCCAACTGGGAAAAATGTTTGCATGGCTCAAATTTCCAGGGGAGCAATGACATAGTGGGACATGGCCATACCCACATCGTTGTCATCCATCCTCCAGAGGTTAATTGGGAGGTTATTTTGGCTCCCATTTTTTGCATTACACAGAAATGAAATGTGAGGGAGTTTCTGCAAACAGGACCCCCTTGTGCACATAGGTGCACATGAAGCTCTAGATTATGGCAATGGCCTCCAGGTTTCACATAGAAGGAGTCTTAATTAAAGGTCCAGGTGTCAGTTAGATTTTCTTCAAACTCAAGGAAAGTTTTGTCTGTCATATTTGAAACAAAAATCCATCACTGAAAGGGGGGGGGAAATAAGATACAAGTGGCCTATGCTCATTTAATCAAGGAAAAGGAGGGATTGGCTCCTTTTACAGTTCGTACTCTTCACATCTTTTGAACTTTCATTTAAGTTATAATTCATGAATTTTCAATACCACAATCATTGTTTCCATGGCAATAAATTAATGTCATGAACACAGGATTAAGACACCACCACAAAAATGAAACAGACGGAGAAGCGCCAGTGCGAAGGAGAAAGTGTGCTGGCGGATCACTTGGAAGAATATGAGAGGACCTTTTGCACTTTTCCCTCAGAAGAAGGAAAAGAAGAGTTCAGACAAATTATCTGCATTCTCTGGTTTATCAAGATTTTTAGAAAATGGTAAATCATAGCAAAACCTGAAATAATTTGTGCCAACAGTGGCAAGAGCTATGCACTCTGTTCTCACCTCCAGCATCTGTATTCACAAAAACCCTGTAAGGGAGGTTAGACTAAGAGCAATTGGCCCAAAGCCACTCTGATAGATCACAAAGATCTGTTTAGAAGTTGGAAAAGTTGCTTTTCCAGTCTCCAGATCCTGAATTTGCCAGTCAGCAAGTCCATGCTGGTTTCAGACTTCTCAGAATTAGTCCAAAAGTAATTATTACAAGCACTCTAACCTTTTCTCAAATACTTTATAGGAAAAGACATGCCAAATAATTTAAAGGAAACCCAACTCCACCATGTATATTGAGCCAGGAAAGCCCTGAAAGGGGGGGGGGGTCCTTTAGAACAGTGATTTCCAAAGGTGTTTTGGACTTTAGCTCCCAGGAACATCAGATACCTTGATTCTGTGAGTTAAAATTCAAACACCTGGAAGACAGTTTGGGAAATACGGCTTTAAAAATGTTCAGTGAATCACTCCTAAGATCCTGTGATTGGTTATTGGTTAATTTCATCTTAAAAGGGGGAAACTTGTTTCTTAATTTCTCTTTGAACTGACAAAAGGACAAAGGTTTAATGTGGGTTTTGTGATGGCCAGAACTGGACAAAATATTTCAGGTGAAGTCTGACCAACAGAGTAGTAATATGACTTCCCTCAATCTAGACCAGTGGTTCCCAACCTTTTTTTCACCAGGGACCACTTGGCCAGGGACTACTCTCCATAACCCTTTTGGCACTGATGTTGGAGAGTAGTTTTATGAGATGTATTGTATATCATATTGAATATTACGTGTTTACTGTATAACAAATGTTTTGAATTCTCTCTCTCTCTCTCTCTCTCTCTCTCTCTCTCTCTCTCCATATATAAAGCCCAACTGCTCATTGGAGGGAAGAATATTAGAGACAAAGGATTTCAAGAGACCAGGGTACAATTCCTCGTTGAGCCATAGAAAATTACTAGATGACTTTGAGCAAGTCACACTCTCTCAGACTCAGAGGAAAGCAATAGCAAAGCTCTTCTGAGTCAATCATGCCAAGAAACCCACATAAAAGGTCTCAATAGCTTAAAAGTATATTACAAGAACTAGTGCTTAGCATAGTAGTAGAGGCCAAGATGAAGTACTTTGGCCACATCATGAGGAGACAGGAAAGCTTAGAGAAGACAGTCATGATGGGGAAAATAGAAGGAAAAAGGAAGACGGGCCGACCAAGGGCAAGATGGATGGATTGCATCCTTGAAGTGACTGGACTGACTCTGAAGGAGCTGGGGGAGGTGACGGCCGACAGGGAGCTCTGGCGTGGGCTGGTCCATGAGGTCACAAAGAGTAGGAAACGACTGAACGAATGAACAACAACAACACACACACACATATGTATATATACACACACATACATACATACATACATACATATATACATGCACATACACACAGCCAGGGGGGTGATATGCAGTGATAGTCTCTCCATTGGAGACTATTTAGTGAACAAAAGAGTACTTTTTTTGTAGGAGTGCAACAGGGAGATGTGGACCTCCATGGTCCCAAGGGTGGGATAGCGCAGCTCCCTAACCATTGCTCTAGATCAACACACGAGGAGGGCACCAGGTTGGAGAAGACTGCATGACAGATTGGAAACAAGCTAGGTAAACACACAGACCACTTGATGATCATAAAAGCCTTACCTGTGCATAGGAAGGACATGATCCATGGGTCTTGCCTCACACCATGGGCTTTTGGGTTGCTCTGCATATAAAACTGAGGACTGGCAATGTAAGGTCAAAGGAGAGATGTGACCGGGGCCTGACCACAACATGCTTGGGCTTGCTGTCTGCCTCAGGGCTGTACTCTCTGAATCGCTGAAGTTGCCGGGGATGTTGTAGTTCATCATGGCAGCCGGGGTATAGAAGGCCATGGCAGAATAGTCATGCCTGTTCTCCATGTAAGAGGAAGGGATGTAAATTGGACTGTGCTCAACGGTCAGGGCAGAGGAGCTGCAGCTGAAAGGGATGTCAGGAGAGCCAAGTTCAGACAAGGAGCTCTTTGCTTCCGTTTTGCTACATCCGAGATCTTGAAGTGATGGTGGCAAGTGAGAACATTCCTTGTGAGACGAGGCACAGAGGGACATTGCTGGGGCAAGAAAGACACCAATGTCTCTTCTTCAGGCAGTCATCCCAAAATGCTTAATCTGGAAAACATAAACATTAGTATTGAAAAAATATTTCTCCCTCCATCCTGGCTTCGCATTTTACAGTTTGAGTTCGGCTTTAGATTTTGTAGCATTCGTGATTCTTTGAGTTGAGAGATGATACACTGAAAACTAGTGTGGTTGACTGCTCTAAGCATTGCATACTGACACTGGAGACCAGAGTTCAATTCCATGCTCAGTTATGGAAACCCACTGGGTGACATTCGGCAAGTCATAGAATCACAGAGTTAGAAGAGACCTCGTGGGCCATCCAGTCCAACCCCCTGCCAAGAAGCAGGAAAATCGCATTCAAAGGACCCCTGACAGATGGCCATCCAGCCTCTCTTTAAAAGCCTCCAAAGAAGGAGCCCTTACCACACTCCAGGGCAGAGAGTTCCACTGCTGAACAGCTCTCACAGTCAGGAAGTTCTTCCTCATGTTCAGATGGAATCTCCTTTCCTGTAGTTTGAAGCCATTATTCCAGGTCCTAGTCTTGAGAGCAGCAGAAAAGAAGCCTGCTTCCTCCTCCCTATGACTTCCCCTCACATCTTGATACATGGCCCTCATCATATCTCCTCTCAGCCTTCTCTTCTTCAGGCTAAACATGTCCAGCTCTTTAAGCCGCTCCATGTTCTCCTGACCCTTGATCATTTTAGTCGCCCTCCTCTGGACACATTCCAGCTTGTCAACATCTCCCTTCAATTGTGGTGCCCAGAACTGGACACAGTGTGATTCCAGATGTGGCCTGACCAAGGCAGAATTTGGGGGGGGGGGGGTAGCAAGACTTCCCTGTATCCAGGCACTATTTGTGAAGGCCAAAATCCCATTGGCCTTTTTTGCTGCTGCATGACATTGTTGACTCATGTTTAATTTCCTGTCCACGAGGACTCCAAGATCTTTTTCACATGTACTGCTGTTGACCCAGGCATCCCCCATTCTGTATCTTTGCATTTCATTTTTTTCTGCCTAAGTGGAGTATCTTGCATTTGTTCCCATTGAACTTCATTTTGTTAGTTTTGGCCCATCATCTCTCTAATCTGTTAAGATCGTTTTGAATTCTGCTCCTGTCTTCTGGGGTATTAGCTATCCCTCCCAATTTGATGTCGTCTGCAAACTTGATGATCATGCCTTCTAAGTCATGCATTTTCCACCCCAGAAAATCCCATAACAAGATTACCTTAGTAACACCATTGGTCAGAAGTGACTTGGAGGCACACAACAATGACAACAATGAGAAACGTGAGGCATTCGCCTCTTGCAGCAAAATCTGGGTGTCCTTAATCACAGCATAGTACAAAACACGCAGATCTGTTTCAAGGACTCATTATTCATTTCAACAAGCCAGTTGATTATAATCACTGTTACTTGATCTGGGGCCCCAAAGATCTCAGGACAACGCAGTCTGAATTGTGGCACAAATGGATTATCTATATCCATCCAGGTCATGGAGCACTATCAATTGGCTGAGTTTAGTATGCTCCAAAATAGAAATACAGCTATAACTCACTGAATGGAGAAAATCCATTCTTGGGCATTACTTCTGTAACAAAAACATTGTCAGCAGTGCCGGAAACAAGGGCAGAACATGTCTCAGCAAACTTTTATTCAAAACTAACAATATATACAAGTGAAGTGAAATGACCACATATCAGACTTGCCTACGTAAACGATAATATGTTGAGTTGTTGTAGGTTTTTTCCGGGCTATATGGCCACGTTCTAGAGGCATTTCTCCTGATGTTTTGCCTGCATCTATGGCAAGCATCCTCAGAGGTAGTGAGGTCTGTTGGAACTAGGAAAAAGGGTTAATATATCTGTGGAATGACCAGGGTGGGACAAAGAACTCTTATCTGCTGGAGCTAAGTGTGAATGTTTCGACTGACCGCCTTGATTAGCATTTGATTGCCTGGCAGTGCCTGGAGCAATCTTTTGTTGAGAGGTGATTAGATGTCCTTGTTTGTTTCCTCTCTGTTGTTGTGCTGTTCTAATTTAATCTAATATATTGAACTTTCAAATGCATTCAAAATGCATCCAGGGTTTTGTCTCTCTTTTTCTTTCTATATGCCTAATTTTCAAACTTTCTGCTATAAAGTCAGAATTGGTTCCTAATCCAACAATCCTTCGTTGTTTCCTATTTTCCTTGAATCTGTAGGCAAGACACCAACACTGCACATTAAGCTGAACCAGAAAAACACACTTGGCTAAATTTAGACTCTGTTCTCTTTGACCCAGCCAAGACGTCCACACTGCTTTCATAATAACATTGACCCTTATCATCAGAAGAATTAGTTTGCTGTTGAACAAACATTCACACACTGATTATTGTACGCTCAGTAATAACTGCTAGAAAGAGTAGCTAGGATGTTCGCATCCTGGACAAGGGATAACTCTTTATTTGAACAGAGTTAAACACATTTGTGACAGTTATCAGGATTAGCCAAATCATAGAATTTCAAAGCCTAGGAGGCTGTATGTCAGGGATCCTTACCAGCTCTGAGACACTGCTGAAAAAAATAGAAAAACAAAGGATCCCACTCATTCACCCAGTTCAAATAGCATAGTACTCAAAAGGTTCTTGTGAGTTTTCTGGGCTGTATGGCCATGTTCCAGAAGCATTCTCTCCTGATGTTTCACCTGCATCTATGGCAGGCATCCTCAGAGGTTGTGATGTCTGTTGGAAACTAAGAAAATGGGGTTTATATATCTGTGGAATATCCAGGGTGGAAGAAAGAACTCTTGAATGCTTGAGGTAGGTGTGAATGTTTCAATTGGCCACCTTGATTAGCATTTAATGGCCTAGCACTTTCAAGGTCTGGCTTCTTACTGCCTAGGGGAATCCTTTATTAGGAGGTGATTAGCTGGCCCTGATTGTTTATTGTCCGACATTCCCCTGTATTTGAGTGTTGTTCTTTATTTACTGTTACGATTTTAGAGATTTTTAATACTGGGAGCCAGATTTTGTTCATTTTCATAGTTTCCTCCTTTCTGTTGGAATTGTCCATATGCTTGTGGATTTCAATGGCTTCTCTGTGTGGTCTGAACATGGTGGCTGTTAAGAGTGGTCCAGAATTTCTGTGTTCTCAGATAATATGCTGCGTCCAGGTTGGTTCATCAGGTGCTCTGCTATGGCAGACTTCTCTGGTTGAAGAAGTCTGCAGTGCCTTTCATGTTCCTTGATTCGTGTTTGGGCAATGCTGCCTTTGGTGGTTCGACAATACATAGTACTCAACCATTGGCATATCGTTTTAATCAAGATTATATACCATACTGGCAGTGTAAGGACCTGCCCACACCACACAAATACAACATAGTCTCCAATTTCCCAGTTTGGCAGGGAAAGTCCCAATTAAAATTCCACCACTCTACTTTTTCACATATTTTAAAAATATCCCCGGACTCATCTACACAGGAATTATAACCCAGAATCACCCTGAATTGGCTCTTGGCTGTCCCACATTTCTCTGCTTCCTGTAAACATTATGGATTAAATGGGGTAAATGCAACTGAGCACAACATTTAAGAGAAATCAGAACCCCACAGCTTTGGGTCAGTGTAGACTGCAGTATTGGGTCTGATTTGAACTGGTCCACTGTCAATATGGGGCACTGCTGAAATCCCTTTTTTCCCAGTCTTGCTAATCACAGTTGGCTATAGAGTTCTGAGCTCCTGGCCATTGTGGCTGCCCTGTGCTGGCATCAGTAGAGGGGCCCTGTTCTGTTCCCCAAGCTAACTCTCCCAGGTGACCTATTCTTGACAAGAACAGAATTAGAAACTCACCACAAAAGGTGTAACAATAAACAAAAATAATAATAATTTAATTGTATTGAAGATCAGTACCCTAATTCCTCCCAGGGTCTGACTAACAAATGATTACTTGAAGGAACAGATGGAAGCTTTGGAACTTAACTGGGTTTCTCATGATTTCTTCCAAAGAGATCCTTAGTAGCCTCTTTGTCTGGCTTTAACTTTGTTGTAAGCCGCTCCAAGTACCCTCAGGAAGATGGGGTGGGATATAAATAAAGATTATGACGATTATTATTATTTTACTGACACAAAAACACAGTATGTCACAGCAAATGTATCTATATATGCTGGATTTTGTATCACAAAATCACAAGTCGAACACTTCCCAAGCATCTAGGACCGTGTGATGTATTTTCGAATGATGCGCGCAGATCCAAGTAAGGTGGCCTTTTGCAGTTGACAGATTATGATTTTGTCTATGTTTATTGTTTCCAAATGCCGGCGGAGATCTTTTGGCACGGCACCCAGTGTGCCGATCACCACTGAGACCATTATTTATTTATTTATTATTTATTTATTTCGAGGTTTTATATACCGACCCTCTCACCTTCAAAGAGGGATTCGGACCGGTTCACAACATGTGTTAACATACAAAAAATATACAATAACAAGACAATGCCACTTCATTACACGATTAAAATATCAGCACCATACACATTAAAACATTATCATCACAGTTAAAAGAGCCAAATCGTCCGACACCATCACAATCCCATTCATCATCCTCCTTTCATGTGGGCAAAGAATTAAATCAGTTGTCAAATGCCGTGTTCCACAACCAGGTCTTTGTTAGTTTCCTGAACGTCATGAGGGAGGGGGCAGTTCTGATCTCTAATGGCAGGGAGTTCCAAAGTCGAGGGGCCACCACCTGCACTGGTTTATGCCAGAGCCTTTGCAGTTCGATTTTGAGGTCTTGATAGCAGCTGAGTTTTTTCTGTTGTTTTTCCTCTATGCGGCTGTCACCTGGTATGGCGACATCAATAATCCAGACTTTTTTTCTTTTTCACAATCGTGATGTCTGGTGTGTTGTGTTCCAAAACTTTGTCAGTCTGGATTCGAAAATCCCACAGTATTTTTGCATGTTCATTTTCCACGACCTTTGCAGGTTTATGATCCCACCAATTCTTTGCTGATGGCAGGTGGTACTTGTGACATAAGTTCCAGGGAATCATTTGGGCCACAGAGTTGTGTCTTTCT